TATGTTTTTAATGTCCAGGTAAAAGCTGACTCTATGAAGGATTATTATCTAAATGAAAGTACAGTGAAGGCAGCGAAGGATTTAGTTGTTGACTGGAAAGCGAACGCAAGCAGTGGGAAATTGGTAGGTTTATTATCATCCAGATTATTTAACACTTGGGTCCCAGCAAGCTTTGGCATTTTCTCGTTTTTACTTTTTTTTCGACGGATGCGTTTTAAATTTTGTGCAATTTTTGTTAAACTAGGCTTTCTGGGCGCTTTTAAATGTCGTACCATTAAAAACAATAACAAAAAAATCGTAGATTTGTTAATGTTTTTCGTGGATTTTCAATATTTTATTGAGACAAAATTTTGCAATTCTGCATACATAAACCTTTCCTGGGGTCTTATTAGTTGCCTCAAAAATGTTGGAACCTATCGGTTCAGCCGTATTAGGGTTTATTGGATACAATCAAACGAACACCCAGACAAGCAAAGTTTATATGAAGATTTAGATATATTTTTTTATTCTGACTGGGTCCGGCCAAATTTTTTTCCTGGAGTCGAAAAATATGGGCCTGATTAGTTAAGCCGTTTTATATATATATACATGTTGAATTGAGCCATGCTGATGAGTCCTAATAGGACGAAACACTGTGTTTATGGATATATATTTGTATATCTGTTTTGAGTATTTGTATCCAATAAACGTTGAAATAAATGGAGCAGAGTTTGAATGGGATTTTACAATGGACTTTAAGGATTTGAAAATATCCAACCAAATACATCCCATATCTCTAAACTTGGCAAATTCTTCAGTATAATCAAGAAAATAATCGAATCGGGCTTTCAAAAGTTAAAGAATACGTCTTAGCATGAAACGCTGATTGGTTAGAAACTTTTAAACCTGAACAGTAACATTCAATTGTAAATTATGATTCAGATAATATTCATGTAATCCTTCTAACTGCATCTTCTATATATATACTTTGCTTGTCTGTTTTTATTGTCTGTTTGTTTCCAATTTCAACGTCAAAACTGCTGAACCAATCGGGCCCAAATTTTTTACGGGACCTCGTGTGACCCTAGGGAAGGTTTTTGGATGATCAAATTTTCAAAAATTTGCCTCTATAACAACATTTGATTTTTAGAAATTTTGAAAATCCGCCAAATTTTTCGTTTGTTTTGTTTTACAATGTATACGAAAAGAACATGTTCACAATTGAAATAGAAGATGTGGGATGCGCCCTGAAAGCATAATTTGTTAAAAAAATCTGAAATAGAAGTTTTCATGAGATTACTGTGTTCAGATTTATTTGTAATTAATATAACCAAATACAATCTTAAGAAATCTGATATTTCTCAAAATGTTGATATTTGACAATAACAAAAAATGAATGCTGCGTGACAATTTTCTCTGTTTTCAAGCCTTTTTTTTACATTTAACTAATTCAAGGGACAATTTATACAGTAAACCCATAATATTATGGAATAGGATATTTTAGATTGAACATTATTTTAGGTAACATTGGAAGATGTAGGAGAGGACTTGAATAATATAAGAAAAGAACAGGGTGCTATGAAATCTAGGTAATTAATGATAGATGATGCAATAAATATATATATAAACAGAGATGATGCACTAAATAGATTAAAAAATAAGTTGAAATGAAATAGAATAAAATAAATAGAAGGTTGCTAGATGTAAAAGTAAAGAAACATGGCATACAGTGTTTTACGCTTTGTTAACAAGTCTTTTATAAAAGATAAATAAAAATTCAGCATACATCTTTCAACACTCTATAACTATAAAAGTATACACAGAAAAAAAAATCCACCATTTTTTAGATCTGCTGAAGAAATAAGATTTTAAAGATTATTTGATTTTTCCTAAACAAGACGTTATGACAGTTATGATTAAAAGTACTGCAAGCGTAATTTTGAGTTACTCTCCATGCATAAAAAAAACTGATTATTTTCAATTGTACTCTCTCTAAAGTGTCTTGTGCATTTCTACTGTAGGAAAACGTATAGGAATTATCAAAATTAACCACTTTTATATTCATGAAATTTAGCTTACAGTGATTTTATCTTAAAACTTAGTTTTACATATGCTAAATTGGAATTGTTAAGTTTGATATATATGCTGACATTTCTTAATTTCCTTTCTCATAGATTTTAATTAAAACTTGTATGAAACAAAGTAAAGAATAAAATTTTAATAAAACTGAGTGTAACATTTTTTACAATATGTCAACCCCGTGTACTTTATTTAATTCCCCTAATATTTACACATCATGGAACTTACAATACAGTTCAGCCCGCGTTATTCTGTTTTATTCTGTTGCATAATACGTGTTAAGTCAACCACATTCTGGGTACAACTAGACGGGTCGGTACAGTAAGACTAGACCTGCATCCTTGTACTAGATTGGATCATGCCCTTTTTAAACTTATGTGAACAAAGGGTATTTTTCTCACGGTAACAAAATATTCTTAGTTCAACCTATAATAAATCCCCGAATCACAACAGTACGTACCCTTAAAACCTTTCTCTGGTCAATCATGTGGAAGTTTATTGTTTGAAATGATAATTCTTATGTATGTTTACTACAGTAAATATATGAAAGCCACATTTGTTGAGAAACCACAGATGAAAAAATCTCGAATTTTAAAAGCTCCAAACCTTGATATACAATTCAAATTTTATTAGACAAAGCTTTTAAGGGCACCATTGTGAATCAGGTATTTTCATCTTTGTTCAATGTTTTAAAAAAAATTATTAATTTAGATTGGGGACTATAGAGGAGAGCATATCTTTAATACTGGATATAATGCAGAGCAGACAACCTACTGTACACAGAATATAGATGGATCGTCTTTGTTAAGCGGTAGCAGTGTAGTACATAATTGTAAAAGTCATAATATGATTATGTCTGCTAGAGTTTATTTTATGAAAAGAGTAAAAGGCTGTTAAAACGTCAGTATTGTCTCTGCAAGATAAACGTTTTTTTTACAGAGCCCAAAACTTAAGACAGACTATTGTTATGAAACCCAGAAATAATATTTCATGGTTTTATATTCACTTTTTATTTTCTATTTCTTTATGTAAATCCACACAAATGTGATTACCCCAAAAAGGAAACTGAAGAGTTTCGTTAAACGATACTCTTTTTTCCGCCTCAGCAAATTTCTTGTTTCACTGCGTACCACCGTATACAATTAAAACAAACAAATCATAAACTCTAGCAGACGAAATTCCTAATGATTATTACAGTTTTCACAGCAAAGAATTATAATGTGAAGATAGTTATTTCAAATGTGTACTCATTTTTTGTACTGCAGTGTACAGTCGCCGGGCTGTAAAGTAAACACATGACGGAGGTCACAGCCTGACATGGGATCCATCTTTCACATGAAAAAATCAACCAAATATTCTGGTCATAGGAAACTATTATGTGGATTATCAAAATTATCAAAATTAGATGCTTTTATCCACCACGGACATTAGAGGAACACTGATGCATCTATTCTTGTTTACAAACACTGCCCAGAGAGAACTGGTTTATATATGTACTCAGAGAATACGCAACAGCAATTAAATTTCCTTGCCATATTACCTTGTTATCACTATACAAAATCAAAAATCATTTAAAAAGACAATCTCAAAATCCTCGCTCAATTCCCATGTTTATTGGAACACACTATAGTCCATTAAGGGACAGAAACTACTAAAAATGACCTTATTATTTCAAGTATACAAGTATGCATTATATAAGTAAAATGCTAATAAAGAATATTTAAAAAAAAAACATTTATTTCAAAATTCCATTGATAAGAACATTTACTGTTTAATTCAAACCAAAATCTAGAACATTTTCATCCAATTAGATACAAACAAAAAACATGAAGAGCACGAGCTGTTTGGGTCAACCGAGCATTTTTATGTAATATATAGATTAGATAATTTATGAAATGTTGTTAATAAAATTTTAATCGTCAAAATATACAACCCTGCGCGCCTAAAGATAAAATACCCTCCAAGCTCTTTAATATAGAACAGATATATATATCTTTACAACATGATTTTAACATTTTTTTAATTTAAAGAAGATATAGAAAGTGCTCTTTTACTGTGACTAATGACGTATTACGAGAACACAGCATTGATATTGTTTACAATTAAAATAGATCTCTATCTATTCTAATACTATTGTTTTATGTAACAATATTTACAAATTTAACATTTAAAACGAAGAACTAAGAATACTGTAGAAAAGACATTGGATTAAATGTTTTAAAAATGCTTCACAAGAGTTTATTGTGTCCTGCAAAAAAAAAATCCAAAAAATATTGAATAAACACAATACAGGAGATTTTCACAAAAAAAAGGTACAATTTTGCAACAGGCGCTGCTAATCACACTTTTTTTTGATTCTCACCCTGTATGTGATATTTCTGGTTCGATTCTGTGACCTAGTCTAGCTTTGATGTTAAGCACACAAGTATGAGAAAATTAAAATTATCCGGTAATATGTTTTAATTTAAAAATATTTTTTTCTTCTTTATAGCTCTTTTATAGATGGGCGGATTATTGGTAACTAATAATTTGGTAACTAACATTTTGATAACTAACAATTTGGTAACTAATAATTTGGTAACTAACAATTTGGTAACTTGACAATTTGGTAACTTGACAATTTGGTAACTAATAATTTGGTAACTAGCATTTTGATAACTAACAATTTGGTAACTAATAATTTGGTAACTAACAATTTGGTAACTTGACAATTTGGTAACCTTACAATTTGGTTTACAATAAAATCATAAAATGAAATAAGCAGGACTATTTAAAGATTTATGATTCACCAGTGGCCGAATTTAAAGAATTTGAGCGGCGGTTTAAATTTAAGCCTCGGTTTAAATATGGTTGGTTCCAATTAAAATTGTATCAAATGTTTCAAGATTTAAGCCGGCGCTTAATCTAAACCGGGTTTTGGCGGATTTAAACCGCGGCTCAAACTCTTTAAATTCCATCTCAGGTTTATTAAACTTTCATATATCATTTACTTCTTTTTCATATGATTACATTTAAACTACTTGCTTATGAGGAAACTTAAATTAGCGCATTAACTGGATCCAGGTACTCCTCTACAGTTGATTCATCCCATTTGGAGCAAATGTTATGGAGTTGTCTCATTCGCTCAAGCTGGGTTTTGTTTCTGGAGCTGTTGTAGTACTGGTGGATATCTTTCAGATATTCTGCATGCGTTTTATCGGATTTGTCATACTAAACTTTTAAGAAATCCTGTATATTGTTTTTTCACTCTATGTATTCAACAAATAAATATGCAAACAATGATTGTGAAACATTAGTTTCAATTATACAAATTGTTAGTTAAAAAATTTTCAAGTTATCAAATTGTCAAGTAACCAAATTGTCAGGTTTCCAAATTGTTGGTTACTAAATTGTCAGTTACCAAATTGTTAGGTTACCAAATTGTTGGTTACCAAAATATTAGTTACCAAATTGTTAGTTAGCTAAATGTTAGTTACCAAATTATTAGTTACCAAAATGTTAGTTACCAAATTGTTAGGTTACCAAATTGTTGGTTACCAAAATATTAATTATTGTGGATGTCAAGTCTACTAGAAATATCGTGAATGGGTTCACACCCTTTGATTATTGTGGATGTCAAGTCTACTAGAAACATCGAGAATGGGTTTACACCCTTTGATTATTGTGGATGTCAAGTCTACTAGAAACATCGAGAATGGATTTATACCCTTTGATAATTGTGGATGTTAAGGTCTACTAGAAACAAAAATTGGATTAGACCCTTTGATGAGTGCGAAATGTGGATGTCAAGTCTACCTGCAACAGCGATAATGGGTATACACCCTTTGATTAGTCTGGATGTCAAGTGTATTTATAGAAACATCAAGAATATGCTGAAAAAGTCTGTATGCAGTTAGAATGTGTTTTAATTACGAGCTGACATGTTCTAAATATTGCTTACATTTTTATTGTTACCGAAAGGATTTGAGTCTTTGCCACAAGCTCGTATTTTCAAATTTCTAAATCTTTGCAACCTGAAGGTGTAAACGTTTGCTATTTAAATTATTTAAATATGCTATTTAAATATTAAATATCTAAGATCTACGACATTGAGAAGCAAAGCTATAGGGATTAGAAAATCAGAGTTTGTGGCAAAGACTCAAATCCTTTGATACTTTTCCTGAATCAACTTTTTAAGTGCAAGGAATTTATTCCTGAAAGAAAAATATTATCAAAAGTCTGACTATAGATTTCTTTAAAATAGCAGGTTTATGAAATTGGAGATTATGAGAGTGCATAATGAATACATCTAATATCATTCATAACAAAACAAATTTAAATTATACCATTAATATATGTAATATGTAATATATGTATGTATATAAAATGTGTGTGAATAAATATTTAATAATAATAAATTGTTAGTTAGTTAGTTACCAATAATCCGCCCATCCTTTTATAACAGGAGTTCAATCTTATGTGCAATTTAGTTTAGTTTAACGTGAGTCGTATTTAGTTTAGTTTAACGTGAGTCGTATTTAGTTTTATTTCTTTAAATGAAGGTTCAGAATGTAATTTTCTAAGTATTTTATTACAAATTAGAATTTTGATATCCAATTTTTTTAATCTTTAGATTAAATTTAGACTTTTTGATTAATGTCGAGTTTGTGTTTTAGCATTATCCATTAACATATTAAACTCATAAATACAAAAAATATTCCATGGAGCATTTTCAAAAATTGACAAAATGTTGACAAATTATAACTAAATATTAAGATATTGAGGTTGTTGGGCAAAATTTCGAATTTTGAACTAATATCAATACACAATATAACAATATAACAATATAACATTTTTACAAGATTAACATTAAGAACTTTAAATAATTGTTGGGTTTGCACAAGTCAATATTTTACAGTTATGTTATTATTTTTTCTTTTGTTTCTTTACATCAATAAATGATTTTTTTAACATTTACGGTTAAATGATTGAATGTATAGATATAGCTAAAAGAAGGTTTTCTTTTTTGAATAGATTTATAAGATTTACGAAAATATAGTTTTTTTAAGTTTCAGTACAGAAAAAAAGTAAATTATTGGTCTCAAATTTTCCTAATGAGCATAAATAAATATTTTTAATTTGTTTAATTTTGATTGGTCTAAAAAATATTGTCGATTTTTATTTAAATTTAATAATTTTGATAGAGGATTAAAGAATAATTAAACTATAATGATGAACAGGTTTTCATAATCTAATCGATAAAACTTTAAAATTAGAAACTACATGGAGTTTGCTCTTTGTGGGAAGTTTAATAGGACAGTTCTAACATAATTTAAATTTTAATTGTATACAATATTCACAACTGAACCCTTTTATGGGACTTTCAGCGTAATTTCAAAGATGATTATGCCCGATTTACAATGGTACCCATGAAAGCTTTGTCTGATACAGCATATAAAATATATCTATTTTTTGTTTCTTTAAATTCTTTATTTTCATTTGCGGTTTCTCTGCGAAAGTTATGTATAAGAGGCAATATTAATATTTCAAGGGTATCGTTGTTAATCGGACATTGTCATCTTTGCATTGATGGTCACTTATAAGTACTCTCCATTTAATGGTATAATAATCAATTATTAAACTAACTGAATGAATAATTATTGAAACAAAATCTGTTCTGATGTATATCCTTGGAAGAATAAATTGTACAATTACAATTTAAACAAAGGAAATGGTTACTCGCATATAAATTATAATGTTCTTATATTTACCTAAACCTAAACTTTGACTTGCCAAAATTCATAGTTTTCAGCATCATGATACAATTATCTAACAATTCGAGTTTATGTTGATTAAGTTTTTTAAACATTTTAAATTTGGCACAATAAGGTTTTTTGTAACCACTGTCGTTTTGCGATATATTCTCATGCGAAACTTGACTTCATATTTATTATTTGTGAATTTTTCTGGTCCTGGATAACTAAGAAATCCTTATTTTTCTAGCTGAAAATAGGGTGCTTTTAGGAAGCAAAATTAAAGATTAAGATGTGTTGGTTCCCATTGTGCGTCTATAAATGGAGCAAGGCGAAAACAAAGGGTTTAAATTTTCGTTCTCAACTCCTTTAAGTTTTTATAAATAAAGATTCTGGCAATATTTGAAATACCGCAGTATACCGCAAACCTAACGTAAAAAGTTTCAAGGTTTCGTCTCGGTTGAAAACATTTAAAAAGTTTATCAACTTATTTTATTTGATTGTTCAAAAAAAACACTTTTTTACTTCAGTAAAACCATTAGATTTTTCTAATTCGACTAGCATAAAATACTGGACTCGGCCACAAGCATTTTTATCTTTTCCATTTAAAACCTCACAACATTTACTTTATTTTGGGCAAGAAACTATTCAGATTTTTTAGAAAATATCATCCCGGGACTAGGGAGGGCTTTCTAGCTTTTTAGTATGTAATCTGTTCTTTTATTGTCATATTCTCCAAAAAAATATTTTATCTGATTTGATTTTAGTGTTTGAGTCAATTACCGCTTGAAGAATTATAAATATGTTTTTAAATGTTAATAGTTTATCACCGTTCAGCTGGTTCGTTTCTTCTTTCCTCGTTTCTTGTCTTGTTTTGTTTATAATTTGAATCGTTAACTTTGATTGATTGATGACTGTAGTTGATCGTTATCGATATTTAGTCGTAAGCGAAGCGAAGATTGATCATCAAAGATGAGTGTTTGTTAACTAAATTGTATAGATCGATAACAATGATATTTCACGATGATTAGTCCTGTTTTTACAGATGGGTTTCTAACAGGGTTCCATTGTGCTTTGTGTACCGTGTACCATGTTCTACGCAGCCTCCGCTGAGAACTTGAACCTCGGCCTCTGGTTGGTCCGAGGACAAGCTGTACATGTTCGGCCTCACGTGGATCAACGGCTTTGTGGAGTCTAAAATAACGATCTAATTACTCAAATTCTAATTTTCTAGTTTCCTTTTATATCTTTGTAACCTGATGTACAATTGACATTTTAAACCTTTACTATTTGATCTAACAGAAATCCTGATTTTAAAGGAACTGTAAATGTAATCTCAAGTAACCCTCCATAAAAAATTGGCCATTCCTAATTCGTAACCTTGAAACCTTTATCTATTTTCTATATGTTTGTCTGCAGTAGAACTGCACCAGTCACTTTCGTAGAGAAGACACAATTGAAAATAACCAGATTTTCAAAATTATAGACATTGATATATAATTCAGCTTGACAAACCTTCTAAGGCTACCGTTGTGTGGGGGCATTGTAAATTTAGCATAAAGGGCCACTTGAATTTAAACGCTTAAAGATAAACTGTGACATGTTGCAAAGATATCTGAAGTCTGAGGGGCGTAATTAGATCCTTCAATTCTGTTAAAATTAAAATGACGTTCAGAATATTTTCTTTGTAATGGCTATTTTGGGAAATTGACTATGATAATAATTTGCTGGAAAAATGTTGATAAGATCTCAGAATCACATATTTTAGTAAAATAATCTGATTCCGAAAAGTGAGAAAAAAAGAAAAGAAAGAAAAAAAGGGAAAAAATAAAAAACAAAAATTCAAGCAGTTTGAAAACCTGAACGATCAATAATACACATTACAGTATAAATCATTTTATTTCATTATTTTCGACGAATTAAAATTAAACGTGAATTTAAATATGTCAATACGTACAGTCAGTATGTACTTTGAAAGGGTGTTATAAAAACCCATAGATTAATAACAATACAGATAGAACAGTAGATGTCATTTTTTTAACATTTAGGTTTTTTTACAATAACCCTGAGGCAGAAGTCCAAAGGAGTTAAATTACAAGACAGAGAGAGAGCATGCGTGTAACTCCTCAGGGTTTTTGTGAACGAAAAACCGCTAAATCTTGAGAAGACGATATCTAGTGTTCTATCTGTATTGTTATTTATCTATGGTTAAACCCAATGGATACCAAGCCTATATTATTTTAAAATATCCTGTACATGGAATAGATACAAGTGTGAAATGTAAATTGAAAAATAAATTGAAAATTAAAATTGCATTCTGCTACAAACTCCAAGTAAAGATAACAATAAGCATTTTCAATTAGATGAGAAATGGTCCTTGGTATCATGAAGGTAATAGGATTAGCCCCTTGGGTAACTAAGAATAGGATTAGCCCCCCGGGTAACTAAGAATAGGATTAGCCCCCCTGGGTAACTAAGAATTGGATTAGCCCCCCTAGGTAACTAAAATTAGGATTAGCCCTCCTGGGTAACTAAGAATAGGATTAGCCCCTCTTGGTAACTAAAAATAGGATTAGCCCTCCTGGGTAACTAAGAATATGATCAGTCCCCTAGGTAACTAAATATAGGATTAGCCCCCTGGGTAACTAAAAATAGGATTAGCCCCCTGGGTAACTAAAAATAGGATTAACCCCCCTTGGTAACTAAAAGTAGGATTAGCCCCCCTAGGTAACTAAAAATAGGATTAGCCCCCCTATGTAACTAAAAATAGGATTAGTCCCCCCAGGTAACTAAGAATAGGAGTAGTCCCCCCTGGGTAACTAAGAATAGGATTAGCCCCCTGGGTAACTAAGAATATGATTAGCCCTCCTGGGTAACTAAGAATAGGATTATTCCCCCTGGGTAACTAAGAATAGGATTAGCCCCCCTGGGTAACTAAAAATAGGATTAACCCCCCTGGGTAACTAAAAATAGGATTAGTCCCCCTGGGTAACTAAAAATAGGATTAGCCCCCCTATGTAACTAAAAATAGGATTAGCCCCCCTAGGTAACTAAAATATAGGATTAGCCCTCCTGGGTAACTAAGAATAGGATTAGTCCCCCTGGGTAACTAAATATAGGATTAGCCCCCCTGGGTAACTAAATATAGGATTAGTCCCCCTGGGTAACTAAAAATAGTATTAGTCCCCCTAGGTAACTAAATATAGGATTAGTCCCCCTGGGTAACTAAAAATAGTATTAGTCCCCCCTAGGTAACTAAATATAGGATTAGCCCCCTTGGGTAACTAAAAATAGGATTAGTCCCCCTAGGTAACTAAATATAGGATTAGTCCCCCTGGGTAACTGAAAATAGGATTAGTCCCCCTAGGTAACTAAATATAAGATTAGCCCCCTTGGGTAACTAAAAATAGGATTAGTCCCCCTAGGTAACTAAATATAGGGTAACTAAAAAAGTAAAAATTTTACTATTTACTTATTGTGCAATTAACTGCGAAAAGTTCAAACTAGATCTTAGCAATTGTCTTGAAAAGGAAATAAGGCTATATATATATATATATATGTATAGTAAATAGTGAACACAAAATAATATTAGTTAGACTGAGATATGATCAAGAGCCAAAGTTTTGAATGTTATATCTGTGTATTTACATAAATTCTACATTAAAGAATATAGTTTATTTCTAAACTAGCTTGAGAATTCAGTTTTGCCTTTAAACTTAATTTTCTCAATTTAATTTTGAACTTTTAAACAAAACTCGTGGTACTGCATAGTTCCCCAATCAAAATATTTAAGGAAAATCGGCGATGGGTGTAATTCGAATCATGATCGGACAAACATTTAAAGATATTCTAAATAAATAAATGAACAATTTTTTTATAATAATATGAAAATAATTTACTTAAATATAGTTTTAAACCAAAAATTCAGGGTTGTCTCAAAAAAACACAATTCACGCACCTCTGACCCTTTAGTAAAAGTAAATTCAACCTTAAGTCCGACCGCGTCAACCTTGTTGCACCAGCTAGTCCTATTGAGTGTCTGCTTTATGTATCCAATGACCGGGCGATACAGTACAAATTGGGATCGGAAAGGTTGACCCGGCTCGGAAATTCAAATGTACAACGTGATTTAAGACATATCTGCATGTCAAAAGAAAGTAAACTCCGCATTTTATTGAAATCTTACAGGTTTTAATCTATTGGCTCGAGAGCTAGTGAAAAGAGGAAAATGTTTTAAATATCTGTTATATTACCCACAAATTTACACGGTTGTAGAATAAAACTATAGAAGCTACAAGGTCACAAAGTTGTAATATCTCATATATTTGATCTTCTTTTTCTGACTTATGAAACGTGTTCGTGCCCGAATTTCAACAATCACTATAATTCTACAAAGTAAAATAAAACATGAATGATCGGATTTGTTTACAGTTTTCCTTCAATAAATGAAATTACAGATTGCAATCATTGATGTTAATAAACTTGATTACTTTGTTATTTTATGATTATTTCTGTTTAATATTTCTCAAAACATTTTTTTAACTCAATTACTAGAAAAATGTATACATGTAGTAAATGCCCACTCCATAACAATTTCTGGGAACGTATCTATCCAGGTACAACTCAGATTCTATTGACTATCAATGTCAACACACAAATACACGATCCGTGATCTATCATGCGCTGTTATATATAACGTAATTAAGCAATCACAATATGGGTTTGAAGGAGTTAAATATATTGAATATCGCAATACACGATTTATGTATTTACTAATGGGCACATTTAACTAGAGAAACCATATTGGGATTTATGTATTTACTAATGGGCACATTTAACTAGAGAAACCATATTGGGATTTATGTATTTACTAATGGGCACATTTAATTAGAGAAACAACATTGTGGTTGCATAATTACGTTATATATAACATTTTATTCTGTTAAATTAACCAAGAAAAAATAAGATTGTTATAAAAATAAAAGGAATATTTTAAAATCTTGGAACCAATTATTTTTCAAAACCTTCGAAGCTTTAAAATGTCTTTGTTTTTTTTCTAAAAGGCTGAATTTCCGAAAAATGAAAATAAAGAAGATAAATTATTTTAATTTTAATGTTTATGCAGGAGCTTTCTAATATCTATATTAAAAAACAAAACATTCGTATATATATATATATGTTGCGTATAGCCGGCTAAACGGCTGGACCGATTGGGCTGAATTGTTTGTGGACACTCAAAGGCGGCCAGGAGGTGTTATATTCTAAACATTCGCAATTTTTAAAAATGTTTTTTTTTTTTTTTTTTCCCACGGGCAACGCCGGACCCTCCAGCTAGTCTCTCATAAACTATTATTTATGAAATAAAATAATTTAACGTTATAAATAGACTTGTAAAACGTAATTTTAGCAACAGTTTTATAATTGACTGAAAACCTAACTCCATAAATGGCTTGATGCATACCATAAATAATGGTATCATTATTACGAAAATTAAATTATACTAAATCTTTTGCGAAAGTTGAATTGCTCTACACGGAAAATAGACAGTTTACATTATATTCAACCAAATTTCCAGTTTACTTTGTAATGTTATACACGGAAAATCTCAGTTTATGACATGAAAGACCAGAACTATGTAAAATTTTGTAGTAATGATAAATATCTGTCTATCTAATTAAACATCTATCTATCTATCTATCTATCTATCTATTATTATTATTTTTATATCTATTTATCTATTAATGCAAAACATAAACAGACCCATTAAATGGCACAGACAAGAATGCAAGGTTATGATGTTTTTATACCTTTGTATTCATGTTGATGTTTGCGGTATTTCCGTTGGTTTGTGAGGTATTAGTAACTGTTGTTTCAGCAGTCACCAGATATACATCTTTTCCATTAACTAGGTATAGAAAACGAGTCTTTGTCGCAAACTCAAATGTTCTAAATTCCTATATCTTTGGAACATTATTAGATTTAACATAATTCAAAGTTTGAAATATCTTTAGTCTATGGCATTGGGTTGCAAAGATATAAAGATTAGAAAATCTGAGTTTGCGGTAAGATTTCTCTAAACTGATAATGCTATTGTTTATATTCGTAATGGAAGTAGATCTGGGTATTGTTTGTGTGAACTAACGAAATTTTTAAGAACGTACGAATTTTTTTGTGAACGATGGTGTTCAGAAAAAAAAAACGATGGAAGAACGACTTAGATCGTTGAGAGCAATGATAAACTATCGTTTTTAAAACCGAAAAAGAGAATAATTTGAAAAAGGTCGATCGAACATGAAAAAACGATCGTTTTTAACGAAAAAAAACAAATTTTAAAATACTTTGAAAGCTATGAAAAAACAAAAAGCCGTATTTTCAAAAATATGTTTACCTTGTTTATCTGCCCTGGCCTGGAGACGAGTAACAGAGGTACCGTCAACAGTTACTAAAACATTTTATTTCATTTTCTTTGAATAGACAGATTTGAATATGAATGGAAAATCTAGATGGGTTGCAGGATGAATTTTAATCAAATTTGGTATCTCTTTACAAGTATTACGGTCCTTCAGATGTTTTTGTAAAAAGGAATAAAAATAAAATAAACAAACATGGGGAATATTTCCATTTCAGTTTTATAATAAGTGTGTTTAAGTAAAATTTGTAAATTTGTAGTAGGCCAAAAGTTTACTGTATGACTTATACACCATATCAATGTTTAATTTTATTCTAATATACGATTTCTCACAGAGAATAATACTATCATAACAACCTGAAACTCTTTACTTATGAAAACCTGACCAGAATTGGATCTTAGGCATAGAATATCGTGTTTTATAAAAATCTTCACTATAAGGCTGCAAGAAACTAGAAATTTTAAAAGGCGACTTACTTTTCTCTGAAATATCATCCTTTGTGGGTAAAATTACTTTCAATTTGTATCAAATATGACCCAATTTGTGGAAGAATTAAGCTCATAATATGATTTTAAATTTGTATCAAATATGACCGAATTTGTAGAGGAATTGCTCAATGTAATTTGAAATTTGACCCAACTAGTGACAGAATTGATATTTTTAACTTAATAAGGGAATTTTAAATAATATAATTTTAAATTTGCATCAAAAAGGACGTAAGGTTTGAGGAATTATAAATTAATAATATAATTTTTAATTGAATCAAAATGATCCAATTAGTTGAAGAATTGTATCAAATATGAGCTGAAATTTGAGGATGAATTAATTCCAATAATAAAATGTAAATCTATATCCAATTTGACCCAATTTGTGTAGAATAAAGCTCCATAATATTTTTAAATTGTATTAAATTTAACCCAATTTGCAGAGGAATCAAGCTCGACAACATATTTTCAAAATATCCATATTTTGATATATTAAAAATTTACCTTGATCCTGCCTCTCACGATTAAGCATGTTGAACTGATCCTTAAAATTTAAAATATTTGGTGGGAAGGTGCTTGATTAAAATGGATATTTCTGCTACCCAGAAAATTAAGAGTCTTGGTTACAAGTCGATAAGTGTTAAGTTTGGGAGCAATTTCACCCGTTACATGAAGATTTTATGTTTTAGCTTTTTACATTTTCTCATTGGACTATTTTTAAGCAAAAGTAACTGAGTTTTTGCCACACACCCGGATTTTCTAATCCCAATATCTTTGCAATTAAATGTCGGAGACATAAATAAAGGTAGATTGCGTATAAGACGACATTATTCATCTTGAAAGATATAAATTTACAGAGATGTTTTAAAGATATTCCTATTATATAAATTAACTATTGTGTCATTGAGTACTTGTGGTGTACATGAGTTCTGTAGAGAGAAATTTAAGATAGTTTAGTCCTTCTCATGTCCTTCTTCAGTTCTCGTCAATATGATATATTGCTCAGTGAAATATTGTTGTTCAAATAGTTCCATTCCCGGAGTTATTTTACACTCTATTATGAAATCCATTAAAACACCACACCACCCCGCTTATCATTGAAGTACACTTTGACCCCTAGAAGTATGAGTTCCCGGACTGTACAATTCTTGGTGATTTTGCGTACATAAGCTATCTATGTTTATTTATTTATCTATGGTCGGAGACCTTTGATATTTAAAACTATGAATTCTTTTAGATTACATAATGAGAGTTTAGAATATTAAAGGTTTATACCACCAGGTTGCAAAGATATAGGGATTAGAAAATCAGAATTTGTGGCAAAAATTCAGTTCCTTTATGACGGATTTTGAATTAGAGATGAAAATATTACTTTGAAAATGTCAACACTGACAGGATTTACTACGTGTTGTGAGACTTCAATAAAAAACCGGTTTTTAAATTGAATTTCCTTGGGTATTTCTGAACATCGTTCAGCAGTAAAATAAACTTAGTTTTGTTTCTAGATCAAAATGAGAATTTTGACGTAATGTTTAGTGTTAGTTATAATGCCATGATGAAAACCTTTTATTTTATTCTTATCAATTAATACATTATAAAAACTTCATAACATAACAACTGATTAAACCATTTACATATATTCCTACTTTTTTTCTTGAATCGATACCAATTTGATTTTTTTTTAATTCTCTCAAAGTTTTATGAGATTATATCAAACCATATTAAGCGCTTTCATGCTGTACTTTTCTGAAACAGTGATAGATTGATATTAAAATCGTAAACCCAAATTATATCAGCGTTGAACCCTTTTGGGCATTTTAAATACTCTAATCACAACCATATGTAGGATTATAAAACACCTTAACATGAATAGTGGTAATTTAGAAATGTCCTATTTAAGCCTCAGATATAAAATATGTGCATTGTTCACAGACCATTGAACATGGAGTTAATCCTTATGCAGGCCTTACTCTAGTATAGGTTAAACGTGTACAGTCGGACAAGCCACTCTACTAATATGGAAATCCACTTTAAAACCATCCTGTTCTACCTCTTTGCACTTTTCTCTAACAACCACGTAATGAATTGCAAGGATGGATGAAAACCCGTTAACTACAATAACAAACCTGTTCTGGTAAATAAATACCTTTAAAAACAAAAATATTTTTTAGGAATAGTTGGTTTCGAAGAACATACAGCACCATAAAACATGTTTGACCTTGAAATTAATTAAAAACATTTATCACAAGTTGTAATTTACAAAAAAACGTTGAAATTTGTAACATTTTTAACCCTATTCCTGCTGCTCATTATTAACCCTATTCCCGCTGGGGGGGGGACAATTTGACCCCCCCCTGTAGTTTTTTTCTACATAACTCAAAAAGTATTGGTCTGAGGCTGTTGAAATTTTCTGACTTTTCTTACATACCCAAAGCCCTCCCTTTAGGCCTAAAACCGGGCTTTAATACTAACTGCCTGAGTCCTCAGGCACACTGCCTGAATGACTGCTTTTGCCTGTAACAAACTAAATCTTTGTTTTGACCCACTTTCACTTGTCAGATTTTGATAAAATTTAGCTTTTTGGAAAGCCTATGACATACGGAAACGGATTGCACAAGTTTTGCGAAACAAAATTGCAAATTTTTTGCAAAAAACCTGTTAAAGGAAATTTGCACATTTTTAGTTTTTCTTGATTAAAAATCAGGTTATTTGAAATTTTGCAAAAATTTTTGCATATTTGAAATGGCATGGTCAAGGGCTTTTCAAAAATGTATAATTTGTCATTTTTTGGACAAATTTTATTTAACAATTTCTGGCACTTACAGGTCTAAAGTCGTATCTGGTATTTGGCTCTCCAATAGAACTTTTTGCAAACAAATAGCGGGAAAACTTGGGGGAGATCTAGGGGGGCATAGGGGCTCAACCCCCCCCTTGAAAAAATAAATGATAGCCCCATTGAAAAAAATTCGGTGTACGCCCCTGGATGCAATTGACGAGTTTCAACTTTGAAGTTGAACAAAAACTAAAACTTGTGAGATATCTTTTTGAATTAATATCTTTATGTATACAGATTCAAAATAACCAGATAATGTTAAAAAGAATTTATAGCATATTTTCACAATGTTTACTGAAAGGTCCTAGTTAAAAGCACTTCACTAGCACAATTGTTGGAACTAATGAAGGTGAAAATTTGTATTTTGTTACATCAAGAGGTTTTGTACATCTTTCAATTTTATAAGAAATCTCTGAAAATTTTATATTACGTTCTGAAGACTAGATACTCAAAATGTGCTCTTTTAAATAACAAAAATATTTACAGAACAATAATTTTATATTGAATGTTTTTGCTGAAATATTCAAAATTTGTCACATTGGTTCTCAAAATTTCGATACATTTTTACAGTTTTCAAATATAAAACAGAGACAAATCGTGAAAATAAAATCGTTTTGTCTGTGAAAAATATTTAAAATTCTCGAATATAAATTATGAGAAACGGTTCTAAAAAATATTACACAGCATACCATATCTTACCCCCCACCCCTCATAAAAAGTTGCGCCTCTGCATTATTTTGTCTGAGAAAAATTATATTCCAGTTTTATTCTTTTGAAAAGTCTACCTGAAAAACTGAAAAATTGAAAAATGTATTAACAATAAAAAATCTAAATAGCTCTGATTTAGTCTTAATTTGTTTGTTTTTTTTACCTCCGACGGTTCCCGGGATTGCACACGTGTCTATTGAATCACAATAATTAATAAAATATATGTATTCACGTTATCTATCTATTTGTTTGTTTGTATCAAATGCTGAACCGTCCAGTAAATCCAAGTAAATTTTTTTTACAAAATTTACAAAAATGCCGAACAAATTTTCATTATCCAAAATGAAGTTTGGAACGTGCCTACCTACAGTGTATCAAGTAAAATTGGTAGACGGCATTTTGAAAATTCCAAGGAAGTGGGCTTTTAATAATAACTGGGAGGGTGGCTAGCTGATATTTGAGAATGAACAAGTTTTTCCAAAACTCAAATAATTTCTCCAATTCAAGAGAAAAGATATTAATAAATATATAATAACAACATGAACATGATATATAAATTGTGATCATTAAATGTTTACAAATAAATGAAAATGTTTTGTTGAGTTAGATTGATGTTATATTTGACATAAAAGGATTTATTAATTAATTGTTTTCCTGGCCATGACGAGATCCATTTCTGCCCAGGCTTCCAATCCCTAGAGATTAGAAGGTTAGGGAGATACAAATATTAATCATTTATTACACTGAGAACTAGAAAACTCTGAAATAGGAAGACGACTTTTAGACACGAGAAATGTCTTTAAAAAGGTAAATGAACATGAGACATGGCATGATTGTGCAGTGTAAAAATACCTATTTCACTTAAGTAATAATTTAATAAGTTACTAGTAAAATTATTTGCTTTGTAATTGTAAGAACATCAAATACATTTAATTATTGTTTGTCGTGTTCCTATTCCACAGTTTTCTGATTCTCACTGTACATTTATCATCATGTAGTTTCATCAAACTAACATATTAAAAAAAAAACTAAAATATTTCCCTTTGACTGGTTTTCTTTGTTTAGATGTCTGTTCTGAAGAAAAATGTATTAACAATAAGAATTCGTCAGCATTGTTTTAAAGAGATTGTTCTCCATTTACAGACGGCATGCCAACCAACATAAATTATAACTTTAATGACGATTTTCCTGACGTTGAAATCTTTAAACTATTAAGAAGTACTTGAAGGTGTAGGTGCAGGCGTAATTTCAAGTATCTCTAAATTTGTAGAGTTCGTGTCAGATTCACAACATAACAGTACCCTTTAAGATTCGGTATTTAAGAGGAAATATGTACGTCAGCAGTGCGCTAGCGTACAATCCAGTTTTATGTAACGTCAGCTGTGTTGTGTTCACACAGTGCGCTAGCGTACAATCCAGTTTTATGTAACGTCAGCTGTGTTGTGTTCACACAGTGCGCTAGCGTACAATCCAGTTTTATGTAACGTCAGCTGTGTTGTGTTCACACAGTGCGCTAGCGTACAATCCAGTTTTATGTAACGTCAGCTGTGTTGTGTTCACACAGTGCGCTAGCGTACAATCCAGTTTTATGGTCATTTGAGAGAATTATGAAGTTCTCTGTCCTCGATGATCAGTAAAAGGTATAAAGGTTACAGTTGTGAATCAAGAAAATGCCATATTTGCATGGAGGGTCCCTTGAAATAACGCTTTGCAGTATAGTATATGGTAATGAATGGTATATTATGGTAATGAAAACATTATTGAAAAACAAGGTTGTATAGTAAAATTAGTAAGAACTCCTCTTCTTAAAAATTGAACAGAACACTTGCCGGTTTTCTAATCGCAATATCTTTTAAACTTGATTAATTGTGTAACCCTTTGAAAAGTAGTACCGAACATTATTTAATTTGTAACCTATCATAGTTATTTAAATTCACTTAAAAAAAATATTCTGTAAGATGAATGAATCAGATATAATATCTTAAATAACCAAAATGATTATAAATTAAAATTGATGAATGAGATGATACTTAAACTAAGCTTGATTGGTACTGGTACTTATGAAGCTGTGGTGATTAAAAACGTACAGAGGTCAATATTTTTTAAGTACTTTTTCAGCTTCAAAATTTTACTGACACTAACTTAAAAATTCACACCTTAATTCTGCGACCATGAATGGAAATAACTTGAATAAAAAATCTGCACAATGAACACTGAACACGTCGACCATTGTATCATTTTTATCATTTATAGTATGGCATACTTAAACTATAGGTTTGAATTAACAAAATTTTGGTTTCGTTACAAAAAATAAATAGCTAAACACTCACCAAATTTTAAGAAGAGCTGTTTCCTGAACTCTGAAATATATATTTTTTATTTTTTATTATATTATTTTGAAGAGAAGTTGAGGGAATTTTACTTAACCAAAGGTTCCCAAAACCAATTTTGTCTACAAAATCAAAAGCGCAGCGAGGGATGCTTTTAGACAAAATTGGTCGAGGGAACCCGTGGTGAAGCAAAATTTTTAATTTCCCAAAAGTAGTTCTATACAATTTGTTCATCTTTTGAGATGAAAATGCACGAAATAACAGTCCTAAGGGACGTTAAGTAACTTAACCTCCCTCTGTTGGGGGAACCATAGGCCGATAATGTTGGTCAAAAGGCGGTAAACTATATTAACCCACCTGTGCAGAACATACAGTATATTATATGAACCCACCTGTGCAGAACATACAGTATATTATATGAACCCACCTGTACAGAACATACAGTATATTATATGAACCCACCTGTACAGAACATACAGTATATTATATTAACCCACATGTACAAAACGTACAGTATATTATGTTAACCCACCTGTGCAGAACATACAGTATATTACATTAACGCACCTATACAGAACATACAGTTTATTATATGTACAGAACATACAGTATATTATATGAACCCACCTGTACCAAACATACAGTATAGTATATGAACCCACCTGTACCAAACATACAGAATATTATATGAACCCACCTGTTTAGAACATACAGTATATTATATGAACCCACCTGTACAGAATATACAGTATATTATATGAACCCACCTGTACAGAACATACAGTATATTATATGAACCCACCTGTTCAGAACATACAGTATATTATATGAACCCACCTGTACAGAACATACAGTATATCATATGAACCCACCTGTACAGAACATACAGTATATTATATTAACCCACATGTACAAAACGTACAGTATATTATGTTAACCCACCTGTGCAGAACATACAGTATATTATATGAACCCACCTGTACAGAACATACAGTATATTATATGAACCCACCTGTACAGAACATACAGTATATTATATTAACCCACATGTACAAAACGTACAGTATATTATGTTAACCCACCTGTGCAGAACATACAGTATATTACATTAACGCACCTATACAGAACATACAGTTTATTATATGAACCCACCTGTACCAAACATACAGTATATTATATGAACCCACCTGTACCAAACATACAGAATATTATATGAACCCACCTGTTTAGAACATACAGTATATTATATGAACCCACCTGTACAGAACATACAGTATATTATTATATGAACCCACCTGTACAGAACATACATTATATTATTATATGAACCCACCTGTACAGAACATACAGTATATTATATGAACCCATCTGTACCGAACATACAGTATATTATATGAACCCACCTGTACAGAACATACAGTATATTATATGAACCCACCTATTCAGAACATAAAGTATATTATATGAACCCACCTGTACCAAACATGCAGTATATTATATTAACCCACCTGTACAGAACATACAGTATATTATATTAAGCCACCTGTACAGAACATACAGTATATTATATGAACCCACTTGTACAGAACATACAGTATATTATATGAACCCACCTGTACAGAACATACAGTATATTATATGAACCCACCTGTACCAAACATGCAGTAGATTATAAAGTTTATAGAGGAATTGAGAACAGCACACAGTCGAGCAATGAAGTCAGCTGAAAATATTCTTTATTAAGAAATTCATTAAATTTTTTTTATCGAAACATAGATATATCACAGTGTTTGTTTAATCTTTTTTTAACACCATTATCAACCCAAAAGTGATCAATAAGAGGTTCGGATAGCTTTAACAAGCTAAACCCTTTCATTTTAAAGTTTTAGTATTGGCTTCCGCTTTAGCTTTAACAGGCTGGGGGGTAGGGCGTTTGACCCCCCCCCTCTCTAGTTTTTTGGCCTAGTACTCTCATTTTTGACACTGTCATTGTGAAAATTTGTCACTTTTTATTTAAAGAAATTTAAAGAATTTTTTGTAAAATAAGTTTTTTTCAATGCAGGGTAGGGTACAGGGCGGTAAAAGTCAGGTCTGTGTAAATAGAAAAATCTAAAATAACCCATAACTTTTCTGTGACTAAAGCTACAGACCTATATTTTTGAAAAGCCCTTCAAAAATGGATGTAAAAACATGTTTCACACTTTTGATAATTTTTAAAAAACAAAAACAAAATACTTTTTCACATTTTTTAACCCTTTTTTTGCATTTTTTTCAACCCTCTCTAGCAACATAACTATTAAAGTTATTGGTCTATTTTTTATCAATGAGCTGGCCTTGAAAAATTGGCCTTGAACATGCATTTTAACCCAATGAAAGGTCTTTTTCTTAAAATTTCAACAGCCTCTTACCAATACTTTTTGAGTTATGTAAAAAAAAACCACCCCCCCCCCCCCAGCAGGAATAGGGTTAAGGGGATTTAGAATTCATTTGAGACATATAAAACGTTTTAATGATGTATAATTACTGAGTTTGAGCGCAAAGTCAACGTTAAAATCATCAAGTAATTATACATCAAGTAATTAAAAGCATAAAATCTACGGAACCCGAATCCTGAATCCTGATTTTTGTCTTGGGTTTATGCCTTTCTCTTAAAGTTAACAACGTGCGACTAATTTAGCAAATAAAATTTTTTTGCAAAAACGGTTGTTTTAAGGAGAAAATAATGGGGGTGGAGGTGTAACTACTACTTAAACATAACAAAAACATCTCCTAAAGAAACGGATTAGTTTTCTTTCCACATAATTAACAATGAGATAAATTGCTTGTATTTATTATTTACCTATATATGTTTCTTCTGAGATATTGAAGAATATCCCATTATCCAAACATTTCTCCACAGTTCTAATAGATGTAACCTTAACAAACATTTGTTATATTAGAGGGGATACTTTCTTAGATAATTTACTGCAACATATTGCAATATTTTAATTGAATTAGATTTTAGATAATACTTAGATACATTTTTTATCCTTTAAAGTGAAGAAGATAGGTGGTTGAATTTTGATTTTTAGGAAACTCCATTTAGGAGCTTTTATTTTTTGCTATTCCTTATAATATGTAAATAGCCACAAGTTGATTCTAAAAGTGGTTTTCATATTCCAAAGTATTCTGGTTCTCATTGTATTGTATAATGTTTACCTCCTTGAAACTTAGAAATAGGCGAGGAACATTCAGACCAAGGAAGACCACAACAAGCACTGTCATAACCTTTAAATATATAAATTATAAAAATAAATAAAAACATAAATTACAAATAACTGCATAGCCTTAGTGTTCATTATGTCATCCTGGTTAATTTCCTAGAGAAAAATTGTCGGCCCCCCCCCTAGCAATTTTGTACATGCATCTCATATTTAACATAGGGATTAAGTTGGTCATGTGGCCGCAGCGACCGGCACCTAGCTTGTCCTAGCCGAGGCGCTCAGCCCCCTATCCTGTCCTAGCTGCAGCGCTCGGCCCCCTAGCCTGTCCTAGCCGCAGCACTTAGCCCAAAAAGTGTCTTAACCTAACCTGACCCTAAATATGTATTAATTTGGTTGAAAATTGTTGAAATTGAAGGCCTGTCCTGGGCCTGTCCTGGGCCTGTCCTGGGCCTGGCCGAAGTGCTCGGCCCCCTAGCCTGTCCTAGCTGCAGCGCTCGGCCTAGCAATTGTCCAAACCTAACCTAACTCCGAAATAAAAATTAAAATTAAAAAACGACGTTTAGTATGCAAAAAAGGTTAAACACGCTTTTTTAGGGACAATAGAGACAATAGCACGGTTTCAAATTAATTAAGTCAATTTAAAAAGTATTATAATTCATAAATATATATTTTTTAAATTATTTTAACAATTCGCCTATTTTTAAAAGCCAAATGTTTTCTTTGATTGATGAAAAAAGCGGAAAAAAATAAAAAGATGAAATTACTTCAAAAAAACGCGAAGCTCTAATATTCATGGAAATATTTGAAAATATTTGGGTTCAAAAAATTGATACCTTTGCCAAGCTGAAATCTTTTGTTCTTCTCTGGTTTGAGTGGAAGTATCTTGTTTTCGACATATGTGAGTACACCTAAACAAAACTCGCAAATAAAGATTCTATCTTGAAACTGCTAATATGAAAAACTGAAATTTTTAAACCAGTAGAAAATATTTTTTATTAAATTCCTTTTCCAAAGATAAATTAATAATGTTTATTCAACTCTACGTGAACAATCCTTTAAAACAACTTAACAGAATAAAAAAATTCTGATAATCATTAATTTCTTCCTGAAAACTTTTTAAAACATCTATTGCCAGAAATGAAATAGAAATGTATGTCATTCTTAATTAAGATTTAATTCTATACACATAATTCTGAATAGACTAGTTAAGGAGTTAAAATAATTTGAATAGGTTTTTTTTTTAGGGCTGGGCAAAGTTCCGTTAACGAAACAGAGGTTTTCGGAAATTAACCGTTAATTTTTAAATCGGTATAGAAACGGATTAACGGCTATGAAAAAAGGAACTCTAACGCCTCAGTTCTATTAATTTCATCCTAAAATTTGTCTATACTCGCGGTTTATATATGCCACCTACCCTGTCTCTACCTTTAAGGACGCACATTTAGCACACCAATTATAGAACATGATGAGGCACTATTAAGATTATGATGTGGAGTTTAGTCATAGAGAATAGAATATATATTAGAGGGGAATTTAGAGAATCTCTCGGTATGATTTTTTTCAGTCCCTTTCAGCCTGAAAGGGAGTTCAAAGTGTACAAATCATGTAAATGTTCACAAATTATATGCAGTAGAGTACATTAATACAGTATGATCCCTAGACTATCCATTTAAATTTCGAATTTTTTAAACTGTTAAATAAACTTTATAATGAATTAGGTGAATAAAAACATCATTTGATTTATAGTTATAACGGAAAATCATCGTTTGTAAAGTGGAAGGCATAGAGTCTATGTGAAACGATCATTGGCAAATATGAAACCAGCCTATTTAATAATTTGGTTTTCTTTTAACATTAATTTTAGATTTTCTATAAAATGATATTCCAGGGCCCAAAAGGTTTTATAGCCTAAATATGTAAAGTACACCTGCAGTATGGAAACAGTACAACAAAATGGCCGTTTTACACTTTGTTCTAGTAAATTCCACTCTAATATATATTCTATTCTCTTTGTTAATTTCCCACTATATAAACTAAAAATATATCTACGAAATCCTTTATCAAACAAAGGTTTAAAGGATATCGTTGTAAACCGGTTAAGCCACTCTACAAATGAAAGGTACTTGAATTTACGCTTACAGTCCCTTTAAGAACGAACATTGACTATCGAGGACGCACCAAAGTGTGGCATGCACATATGTATCATAGGATTTTATTTCTTCATATATTTGACCTTGTAGTTGAGAGTAGTGAGGAGAACTAGTGGAATTATGCCTGTAGTAGTGAACGGATGGAAAATCTGAAAAATATTATTACTTTAGTTCTTGATTCTGAATTTAATGGTTATTATATCGTTAGAACTAAAAAGGGTCAACTGAGTCTAAAATAGTGTTTTTTTTAAATATGGAAATGACATTTTCTTTATTTACTTTTTTGTGGCTATGCACCAATATCTACACCAAATATTGGTTTTTATAATAAAATAGAATTAACTCTGTTTGCAGGATTCCTGTTTTAGGCTTTAAAATAATAAAATGTAATTATGAAAATGCAAATATATTTTTTGATAAAACCTTGAATTGTTTTTTTTTGTAAATGATTAGAAAATATTGATGCAATTCTATTCCATAATTATATTAAAAAATTCATTGACAAGTGAAAGAGATCTGCATCAAATCTTAAAAATTAATGCATCGAAATGTTTTTACCATTTATTAATTCTAAATTACATGTTGCATAAAAAATAATAAAAATTATAGTAATGCAATTTAATAATTATTTTTAACTATTTAGAATTGCTCAACAGCTGCGGAGCCAAAGAGGATTGCAGGGCAAAATTTACAATGTGTTTCTTTTCAGCACAATTAATGCAATTACTTAATTATGTGTTTATAAATATTTTTTTTATTTTGATTAAATGTATTTGTTGTTTAGATCTCAATCCTGGGGTCGTCCTCAAGAAGCAAGGTTATAATGCAAGGAAAGTTAATTGCAGTTGCGTATACTCTGCGTACATATTGAAACCAGTTCTCTCTGGGCGGAATTTGTAAACCAGAATCGATGCATCGGTGTTCGTTTAGTATCCGAGGAGGATAAAACCATTGAATTTTGAACATTTTTTAAATTCACATAATAGTTTCCTATGACCAGAATGTTTCATTGATTTTTTATGTGAAAGATGGATCCCATGTCAGGCTGGGACATCCTTCTCGTGTTTACACTACCGCCCAGAGACAGTACACTGCAGTACAAAAGATGCGTATACCTCTAAAATAACTTTCCTTGCATTATAACCTTGTCAAGAAGCATCTTTAGGCCATCCTGCCTGGTTCTTCACAAGTCACAGTGCAGTGGCACTGTACTAGGTTTAGTGGGTGAAACCGCAATTATTATCTTCGGAAATGGGAACGATCACATTTTCGAATATTATGCCAAATTTTGAAGGTTAAAATGGCATTTTTGAGAAAAATGTTTCATCAACAGCACTTTTTAACACATAACACTTTTTTCAGAGACACCTTGTATGTATCCAGGAACACCCTGTATACCTGAAAGAAAAGTAGGAACTTGAGATATGAAGGGATACTCTGGAGATCAAGGCCAAGAGGTGAAATGGATAAAAACCTGGAAAGAAATTGAGTTTTAAGCAGAATTCACAGAATTCAATTTAGAGAAAATTCTTTACCATCCCTTCACATCAAATTGTAGTCCCTTTACAGTATATTATAGTCTCTTCAAATAATATTTTATTACCTTAACATTATATTATAGTCCCTTCACATCATATTATAGTCTCTACACATCATATTATAGTCTCTACACATCATTTTATAGTCTCTTTACATAATATTATAGTCCCTTTACATAAAATTATAGTCTCTTCACATCATATCATAGTCTCTTCACATAATATTATAGTTTCGTCAATTCATATTATATAGTCTATTCACATGATAGTCTCTTAACATCTTTTTAAAACTAAATATTTGTATTATCCGTTCAGTTAGTTGAAATAACAATGACACATATATCACAATTTGTTATGTACGGAAGAGTGGTTACATTTATATATTTTGTTACGCTAGATAGCGTAAACTAACGACAAGCAAGGAATAATTAGTGATACAATTACGAAAACCTTTTGGTTGTAGTTTGAGAGGTAAAGCGGACATTTTTATCTTTTTTGACACATGCCTAAGAATAGTTGACATTCGAAAGTATAAATTCAGGGTTTGATACTGATGTTGTCGGCGTTTCGACCAAATGTTGTTTGCAAAAAGCAACTACGTTATTCGAGAAGTGTATTTGGTCTATAAGGGCATGCAATTTAGCATGCCTATAGACCAAATGCATATTATTATAGCCCTAACATCATATTATAGTCCCCAACCATCATATTATAGCACCTTCACATCACATTATAGTCCCCAACCATCATATTATAGTATCTTCGCATCATAGTCTCTTCACATCATATTATAGTCTATTCACATCATAGTATCTTCACATCATATTATAGTCCCTTTACATCATATTATAATCTTTCACATCATATTATAGTTCCCTCACATCATATTATAGTTCCTTCACATCATATTATAGTACCTTCACATAATATTATAGTCTATTCACATCATATTATAGTTTATTCACATCATAGTCTCTTCACATCATATTATAGTCTCTACACATCATTTTATAGTCCCTGTTCATCACATTATAGTCTCTTCACATAATATTATAGTTCCTTCAGATCATATTACAGTACCTTCACATCATATTATAGTTTCTTCACATCATATTATAGTCCCCAAACACCGTATTATAGTTCCGTTGCATCATATTATAGTCCTATTCAAGTTTCTTTTCATTTTACTAGAGAAATCACGATTGATAATATTTCATTATCTTTTATAATTTAATAACAATCTCTTATGTCAGCAAGTATAGAATTAGTATAATTCTTCAAAAATGCAACATATTCAATTTCTTCCCCGGTTCTCTTCAATTTCAAGGGGTTTATACAATCTTATTTTTGAGTACATTTCAAATTAATTTTCTGAAATCTAGAAAGATTTTAAATTTAATCTTTCCAACAGTTGGTTTATTTTCTACTTTCGCAAATTTTTTTAACTTCATCTCTCATCTCTTAAAGTTACTTAAAGTAAAGATTAAAAAAATGTAAAATTTTTAAATATATTTTTTGTTTCTGCCAAGTTTTGTTTCATTTCAGTTTATTTCCATATATTTTTTGACAAAATATTGTGCGTCATTATAGACGCTCCCGGATTGGTAACCGCCAAAAAAGTCCTTGGAAAAAAAGTTTCCGGGGAAAAAGTCATAAAATTTCACACTAAAAAAGTCCTGTGGAAAAAGTCCCGGGAATCGAAAACACAGGACTTTATTTCAAGTGACATTTTTTCCAAAGACTTGAGAAAATTCGGACTTTTTTCCAAAGTTTTTATGTCCAGTTTTTTTTCCAGAAACTTTTTTTTCCGGGACTTTCTTACATAGATTCTCCGGATTAATCTCTTATGGCACACATATATGATTACCCCTTACAGTGCCTATACACACTGCACACTGCTCCCAGCACACTACAAACGATACACAATAGACAATACACAATACATTGCACACTGCACACTGCACACTGCATAATCCACAATACACAATACAAAATACATTGCACACTGCACACTGCACAATACATTGCACACTGCACACTGCACAATACACAATACACAATACACAATACATTGCACACTGCACACTGCACAATCCACAATACACACTGCACAATACACAATACACAATACACAATACATTGCACACTGCACACTGCACAATCCACAATACACAATACAAAATACATTGCACACTGCACACTGCACACTGCACAATCCACAATACACAATACACAATACACAATACACAATACACTGGATACTGCACACTGCACAATACACAATACACAATACACAATATATTGCACACTGCACACTGCACACTGCACAATACACAATACACAATACATTGCACACTGCACACTGCACACTGCACAATCCACAATACACAATACATTGCACACTGCACACTGCACACTGCACAATACACAATACACAATATATTGCACGCTGCACACTGCACACCGTACACTTTAGTCAATACAGACGCTTGCCATAATAGGTTAATCCGAATGCGTCGATATAGACAGAAAAAAATTTGTGCTATGCATTTTAGCCAAAAAATTTGGAAACATAAATTTACTAAATAACCCTAAGGAAGCTGTCATTGAAATTTCATGTACTTCTGTCGACAGGGGAAAGGGTCGGTATAATGGGCTAACCTTGTAAATACATATATATAGTCCCTTTTAGAATTAACCTAGCAATTATGTATATATAGTCCCATTTAGAACTAACCTAGTAATTATGTATAAATAGTCCCTTTAAGAACTAACCTAGTAATTATGTATATATTATCCCTTTAAGAACTAACCTAGTAATTATGTATATTATCCCTTTATTATCTAACCTTGTAATTACATATATATTGTCCCTTTAAGAACTAACCTAGAAATTATGTATATATAGTCCCTTTAAGAACTAACCTAGTAATTATGTATATATAGTCCCTTTACGATCTAACCTTGTAATTACATATATATAGTCCCTTTAAGAACTAACCTAGTAGTATAAATAGTCCCTTTAAGAACTAACCTAGTAATTATGTATATATTATCCCTTTAAGAACTAACCTAGTAATTATGTATATTATCCCTTTATTATCTAACCTTGTAATTACATATATAGTCCCTTTAAGAACTAACCTAGTATTTACGTATATATAGTCCCTGTAAGAACTAACCTAGTAATTATGTATATTATCCCTTTAAGATCTAACCTTGTAATATTGAGGATAAGCGAGAGTACTACCCCTGGTATAATATGTCGAAGGAGACTTGAATTCCCTGAGTTCTGAGCTCGAACCTAACATTATATATAAATATATTCTGACTCAAGTGCCCGGCATCGCCCCATGGAATTTAAATTGGAATTTGAAGAAGAAGAAAAATTGACGAACATTTTTTTATTTGTCCTCATCTTGAAACTTTTTTATCTTAATTCTTTAAGAAAGCACTAATCCATTTATTTGTTATTATATTCAAATGTTACACCAATCAGAATCCACAAAAAATCTTCCAAATGCCGTTTTTCTCAGATAAAAAACAAAAATTTCCAATTGTGGATATCAGATTATTTAGGTCAGACGTTTTACAAAAATTTAAATCTCCAAAACAAAAAAACTTATCAAAGTCGGAACGTTGTATGAGAATAGAACTCAGACTTGAAACTCATAGTGGAGCTTTTTATTTGGAGCGATTCAGTGTGAACAGGTGGCTCTTGAATCATGTTATATGGGATTCAGTGTGGACAAGTGGCTCTTGTAGCATATTATATGGGATTCAGTGTGAACAGGTGGCTCTTGTAGCATGTTATATGGGATTCAGTGTGAACAGGTGCTCTTGTAGCATGTTATATGGGATTCAGTGTGAACAGGTGGCTCTTGTAGCATGTTATATGGGATTCAGTGTGAACAGGTGGCTCTTGTAGCATGTTATATGGGATTCAGTGTGAACAGGTGGCTCTTGTAGCATGTTATATGGTCGGAAATTAAAGACATCCTAGGAATAAGTAAACATAACAGATACAGCTTATTGCTTTCTCAAGAGGTTCAAGTATTAAAGCCTTAGACATTTAGACCTTTAGACATTTGGGTAGAGAAAGAAAGAAATTACATAGACATATAGATAGATATGAAAGCTTAAAATCTACAAAAAAAAGTTAAGAGTGTCTTTTAATTTTTCTTTATTTGTAAAACTTTAATATTCCTTTTCTTTTCTAATTCCAAATGAAAAAGAATTTAAATTTCTCTAACACTGTTAAAAAACACTGACGTTTTGCTCGTAATGTCGAACTATACCAGAAGTATTTCGAAATTGCGAAAAAAAATTCAAAATTATAACAGAATTTTAGAGATATTTCACACAAACTCTGATTTTGTAATCCCTTTATCTTTCGTCGTAGACCTTAAATAGGTCAAACAGTTTCAAAAGAACTAAGTCTTAGCCACAAACTCAAAGTGTATGATCCTTATATCTGTGCAACCTGAAGTGTAAACCTTTGATATTTTAATCTTTGTTTATTTGATCTAACATAATTCATAGTTTGAAATATCTAAGGTCTACGACAGTTGGTTGGGACAATATAAGGATTAGAACAGTTGAGCTAACATAATTCATAGTTTGAAATATCTAAGGTCTACGACATTGGATTTAAAAGATATAGGAATTAGAAAATCAAAGTTTGTGACAAAGACCCTACTCCTTTCATAGGTTTACACCAAGAGATTGCAAAGATAAAGGGATTAGAAAATTCCTTTGTTGAGTTCGATATTATAATATAATTTTATAGTTTCTTTCAACTGGGATTTAAAGATATTCAGAATTGCATCTTTGCATGGAGGATGATTTAAAATTAAGCTAAATAAGTTAAACAAATATATAAATATATAAATACAATGATGATATTTGGCAAAAAATTCTTTTTCTTTGAAAAGACTTTTATCAATATAATTGCAAGACAACAAAAGATTGTCTCTTTGATATTTTCTTTGATGAGAGAGAGAGAGATAGGAAAATAAAATAAAATTGGGTAATTTAAGTCTATAAATATATAAACAGGTTCTAACCAAAATACAATAAATTCAAAATGAAAAAGGTTTCTTTGCTTGCGTTGCGGCCTTTTTTGATTATTACAAAAATTTGCTAATGTTTTTTGTGTACACCAAATAGCATTACAGGGAATGTCGTGATATGTACAAATATGTTAAGTACATTAGTAATTTGCAATTCATACTTTTGTATTTTCATATTTTCTGGAAATGTTAGTAATTTTAGTTCAGTTGCCAAATTTAACTTGAAAGGTTGGCCCTGAAAGGGAGTCCGGGGGAAAAATCCTTATCATTGGAGTACTCTCGAAGACCCCCTTTCATCAGAGACCCCCATATTTTCATGGGTGACCCCAAGCTTTTCATCAGAGACCTAAGATTGTCTCAAATGAAAATATGGGGGTCTTAATTAGGAGGCCTTGGGGGGTCTCCGATAGGGAATCTGATAGAACTCAAATAAAGATGATTTCTTTCTATACGCCATATATACGCCCCTGGTACAAAACAAAGTATGTGACCGTAAATTATAAAAAAAATGATGATGAGAGCTGTAAATAGTTAAATAATCTAATACCTGATAGTAGTGTGGGTAACACACTGCCTGAAAATAAAAATAGTTAAGAAAATTGAAGAACTTGATGAATTATAGAGCATTTAACAGTTATGTGTACCCTTCATTCTCAACTTCTTCTCACTTCTATTATATTTTAGATAGAAAGAAAATAAATTATGAAGATGCAATTTTTAAATGCTTATAATGGGTTGAGTATAAAAACACTGACTGTATAACTGTAGTAAGTAACTATAGTTGGGTTTAACCTATTTAGAAAATGTAGTACGTAACTACAGTTGTGTGTATCCTATATAGAAAATGTAGTAAGTAACTATGGTTGTGTTTATCCTATATAGTAAGTAACTATAGTTGTGTTTAACCTATATAGGAAATGTAGTAAGTAACTATAGTTGTGTTTAACCTATATAGAAAATGTAGTAAGTAACTATAGTTGTGTGTATCCTATATAGAAAATGTATTAAGTAACTATGGTTGTGTTTATCCTATATAGAAAATGTAGTAAGTAAATATAGTTGTGTTTAACCTATATAGAAAATGTAGTAAGTAACTATAGTTGTGTTTATCCTATATAGAAAATGTAGTAAGTAAATATAGTTGTGTTTATCCTTTTTTAGAAAATGTAGTAAGTAACTATAGTTGTGTTTATCCTATATAGAAAATGTAGTAAGTAACTATAGTTGTGTTTAACCTATATAGAAAATGTAGTAAGTAACTGTAGTTGTGTTTATTCTATATAGAAAATGTAGTAAGTAACTATAGCTGTGTGTACTGTGTATCCTATATAGAAAATGAAAGACAATTCTATCGAAAACTTTGATCGAACTCAAAGACATGGTGATGTTAAAAAATATCTCATTTTATGTTTTACAGTATCTTATAAATCTTTATTATATATTTAAGACGAAAAAAACAATCTTGTATGTGAAAATTACGTTTTGTAATGATTTTTAAGATGTTTACCTCATTCTAAAAAAGTTTTCAAATAATTAAAAAAGATGTTCTGAAACAAAACTTCATTTTTCATGAGTCCATAATTTGTATCAAAAGTTTAGATCCTGAGATTGTTATTAATAAAGTTTTATCTTGATTCATCAAAATTTGCAATATCATAAACTGTTCATTAAAACACGATTGTGAAAGATTTGTTTTTTTTGTGAACTGTTCTAAAGTTTTAAATATTGTAAAACTATGCTTTTAACAAAAAAGTTCGGAAACGTTTTCCTGAATTTTTAATTGTGGAAAACAATGCAGAGTTTTAATTACAGAGAATCACGCAATTTTAAATGTAAAAGTGAATTATATAAAAGTAAGAATGTAAATTTTAAATGTAAAAGTAAATTATATAAAAGTAAGAATGTAAATTGCTTCCACTTTTTAAGTGTACTATATATAGGCTTTCAGGGCCTCCTTCGTGCAATTTTTTTTATTTCAACTTTTCCTCTCCAAGGAAACCATTTTTATCGAAATCTGTATTGAAATTAAAAAAAAAACTTCGCGGACTTTTAGATTTTTATCGGTGTGACTTTTAATCATGAAAAGTGTTGTCCTTTTTCAAGCAAATTCTTTTAGCTTCATCTAGCCATAACTTTCCCTGTGGAACGGGCCCTATCGGTTCAGCCATTTAGACATTTTATGGATACAAACAAACAGACAGACGGACAAGCACATTACATATATACTTGGCTTTCAGAGGCTTCGCGCCTCTTTTATTGGAGAAAAAGCAGACAAACAGACAACTAAGTATATATATATATAGATTCCATTAAGCATGTAATTACTATATATATTAGGTATGGTGTTCATTTGCATAAATATTTTCAGCCTTGAATATATTTATGAATATTGCAGTACATCAGCTATATATATATAAAGCACATAATCTCTGTTGAGGTGTTTGTATGTCTGATCATAACTCAGGAACCCCTCAACCGATTTTCCTCAAATTTTGACCGAGGAACTCAGTAGAACCACGGGAATGATCTTGGTTTGAAAGGTCTAAGTTGAATAGGTAGACTCTTAAAAAGAAAGCTTAGTGTTAAGGCAAGCTGGGTTCCTAAGCTTGTATAATTACACTAGCTTGGGAACCCAGCGTTGCCAAGGGTCATAGTTAGTCCCGCCGGTTACCCGCGCTTGGTCGTAAATTACGATTTTAGTCGACCCACTCCACTTAGAATCTCAAAACTAAGCTAAGAACATTCCCGTGGTCCTACCGAGTTCCTCGATAAAATCTTGAGGTAAATCGGTCCAGGGGTTCATGAGTTAAGATCGGACAAACATACAAACAGACAAACAGAGATTACAACTTTTCTGCTTCAGAGTGTACACAATATTTATTAAAGGGCGTGACCGGCAATGTATAATGGTTGAACTGAGTATGCAGTATTTTGGACACATTTTTTAGGATTCATTTGAGACATGTAAAACTTTTCCATGATGTATGATTACTGAGTTTGAGTGCAAAGTCGACGTTCGAAATCATGAATTTTGGTGGTTATGTTTTCAGAATTGGTTTTTTTAAAAGTATTAAATAACAATGACTAAAAATAAAGTAAAAATCATACAGTAAGCTAATTAGAGTTTAGGAACATATTTCTCAGTTGAAATTTGTCAATAAATCAATGTTAGAATCAATTATTTCGTTTTCAAGAGTAAATTGAATATCTTATTTTTCACAAATTTATTTTCAGATTTCTACAAATTCTTCAAATTTAGTCTTTTCAATCAAAAATCCAAAAAATCTACAGAAAATGTTTGTGAAGAATTAGAGATTACAGAAACTACTAACTGAATAAGATTACTTATTTTCGATGACAAGAGTTAATTTTTATTTTCTCAACCTGTTACTAAACAACTAATTAGTTTACTGTTAAATTTTTAATACATTTTTGGTCGTCGTTATTTAATAATTGAAAAAAAAGTCTATTAACAAAATGTAACCACCCAACTGGATGATTTTGAAAGGAGACTTTGCACTCAAACTCAGTAATTATACATTATTAAAACGTATGTCTCAAATAAATCCTAAACAATTTCTCCACAATACCACATTCTCAGTTCAACTACCATACAATTCCAGTCACTCCCTTTGAGAAAGCTTTTCACAAATTCTTCAAATGTCGTCTTTTCAATAAAAAAAATCAGAAAATCTGCAGAAAATCTTTGTGAATAATGAGAGATTATAGAAACTAATAAGATTACTTAAATTCAATAAATTCTTTTGTAAATCTATCTTTGACATTATTGCCAACATTTCAGACATTTCCTTAAAGATATTAAAAATATATAAAAGCATTTTTGATCATCAGAATTTCATAGCACCTCTACAAACCTGTTTCCGCATTTCTCATTGCTATTTATTTATTTTTACAATTCCTGAGTTTATGTTAAATTGTATAAAATCCATTGAAGAATTGTCAAGACGACATAAATACTTCGATGTCTCCTAAATTCTACATTAAACTGTATGATGTAAGCCGTTAAAGATTGATACTAGAAAGGCTGTTTTGGAAGGTATGCTGAACTGATTTTTATATTTTACGGAGCAGAAAATGCACATGGACATCAATGACTTCCGATTTCAGGTTTAATACCAGGGACCACTCACCTGGTATCTTTCTACGGTGATGCTCACTATCAGGAAGATGGAGAGTGAGAGAGAGAAGTGAGAGCAGCTTTCTACCCAGGGGAACAGATATCCATACACCCCGGTATCTATGTACGCTAGTCCTAAACAGGTATCCATACACTCCGGAATCTATGTACGCTAGTCCTAAACAGGTATCCATACACCCCGGTATCTATGTACGCTAGTCCTAAACAGGTATCCATACACTCCGGTATCTATGTACGCTAGTCCTAAACATATGGGTTTGGTTGGTGAGGAAAAGCTCTTAAATTGTGACATGATTAGAATTAACTTATATGAATATTTCTTACAAAATGAATGAAAAAATAAGGCAGATGAAAATATTTGACTAAAATCATTTATTTTACAATTTTTCTAACCAACTTTTTACGATTATTCATAGTAACCCCCCCCCCCCTACCCCAACCAACACCTTGTTTTAAGGGTTATGGTTTGCATTGCACTCATGCAGTCTCTGAATTCAAATGGTCAGAACTCAGTAACAACATGTATTTAACTTATTAAAGAAAGCTCACAATTTGTTTGTATTTGACGCGTCTCCTCTTTTTAATTAAAAACTGGAAGGAAAGTTTAAGATGTAATTACTGAAGATGGCAACCTTCATTTCTTACTCAACTCTGAGTCTGAGAAGAATTCATCATTATTGGAGTGCTATTGAAAACCTCCAATAGGTTATTTCAAGGGTTATTTCATCGGAGACCTCCAGAATTCTCACTGCAGATTTTCAACGGATACGCCAAGGTTTTCATCGGAGACCCACATTTTTTCATTGAAGATCATGGGGTTTCCAGTGAAAATCTGGGGGTTTCAAATGATAAATTAGGGGTTTTCGATGAGATGGTTGTAAAAGTCTCCGATAGTGCTCCCACAATGATGATTTCTTCCTATATTGTTGTTTCTATTTTTTAAAGAAAACTGTAAAATGTACTGTACAATGTACTGTAAATTGTACAGTAAATTGTACAGTACATTGTACAGTACATTGTACAGTACATTGTACAGTACATTGTACAGTACATTGTACAGTACATTGTACAGTACATTGTACAGTACATTGTACTGTACATTGTATAGTTCATTGTACTGTACATTTTACAGTACATTTTAAGAAAATGGACCGAGTCTGCGTGATCTGCGTGTACAGTGTACACTAAACAATGAAAAAACATGTCTTTGCGAATGACTTACCCAGGTTGACCGGAGCCAGCAGCACATTTGTTACCAGGAAGAGTATGTCAGCTCCACATAGGCAGGCCAGCAGATTGTTGAACATGCTCGACATACTCCTACAATTTGTAAACATTTACCAAAATCAAATCAAATCAAATCAAATCAAAAGAAATCAAACCAATGAACCAAATCAAATCAAATAAAATCAGAACAAATCAAATTAATCAAATCAAATCAAACCAATCAATCAAATCAAATCAAATCAAATTAAATTATTTCTATAAAAATAGAATTTTTACAGCCAGACGTAGTGATAGTTGGTACTAGAAATGGACATCATTCTCGTGAACAAAGAAAATATTTCAATAAGTACAAATATTTCGTGAACGATGGTGTCGTTTGGAAAAATTAATGAATTGAAGGATGGACGAATGGATTAGATCGTTCAGAGAAATAAAAAATAGTAGTTTTTTTTAATGAACGAGAATAGCAAAGTCGAACGACTTAAAATCGTATACGATCGATCGCTATTTATTGATCAGTTACACCGTTGAACAAAGATTTTAAAATCACTTTTTTTACCAAACGAACTATTTTTTTCGAATTAACTTGAACAAAAAAAGCTATTTTTTTCCTGAACTAACGTTTTTTTAACGAACTATTTAAAAACGACCTGAAAAAAAATCAATTTAAATTTTTACTGAACGACTGAAAAAAGAAAGATGGGACGAACAACGAACAAACGAAGTGAAAACAAGCCGAGCACGCCCATCTCTAGTTATTACAGAACAATGGCTGAACATAAGCAACCATGGAAAAACAGCACTTTCTAGGATTTTTCTTAAATTTTATATTTTGTATCTGCAGTGAGAAAAATTGATGATAAAACAGTTAGTATAAAAAAATCTTATCCGTTTTACTTTTTTTCGTACAGAAATGGTTTTCATGAAAATAAAATTTTAATCATAAAATGATCTTAAGAAGTTGAATTGGAATTCTGGAAAGGATTTACAAATACCAGGAAAAAGAATTATTAAAATGAATATAAGGACTTTCATGTTATACACTTAAGTGAAAATATCAGATTTTTTGTTGGATTTGAAACACATTATTTTTATCAATTTATATTATACTAGGCTCTATTTCAATTTTGTATACATTGTAAACATAAATAAAATAAAGTTTGCGGAGTTTATAAAAAATCGTGGATTTTTTAAAATTAAAGAAAATCGATTTTGTGGGAGGCTAAATTTTGAAAAATTCCCTACAGTGTCCGATGTCACGTTAAAAAACGCCCGGGCGAATGACAATGCCCAGACTACTGTATCATAACATCAAATTTCAAAATATTATAATTTTTTCTTTTACAAACTATCATACTACGACTAAATTTTAGGTCATTGTTACTCATGTGCAAGGGATAGAAATTAAAATATCTTATTCTTTTAATTCTTTGAAAAGAAGAAGACATTCGAGACGGAAAATTGTTTTTGTTTTTTACATTTTCCCCAATATTGATACATTTAGAAACTTATTTAACAGCATAGTTTACGTTCCGAATTTCTCAATGCTTTCTAGATTTAATATTTTAAAGGAAAGTGTCCAAATTTTTAAGAAATGCCACACTACCCAGTAGTTTATTAACGTCACACCGGGCTAAATAAAAACACAGGTAAATTGTTATTAAAAACAGGCAAATTGTTATTAAAACAGGAAAATGGTTATTAAAAACAGGTAAATTGTTATTAAAAACAAGTAAATTGTTATTAAAAACAGGTAAATTGTTATTAAAAACAGGTAAATTGTTATTAAAAACAGGTAAATTGTTATTAAAAACAGGTAAATTGTTATTAAAAACAGTTAATTGTTATTAAAAACAGGTAAATTGTTATTAAAAACAGGTAAATTGTTATTAAAAACAGGTAAATTGTTATTAAAAACAGGTAAATTGTTATTAAAAACAGTTAATTGTTATTAAAAACAGGTAAATTGTTATTAAAAACAGGTAAATTGTTATTAAAAACAGGTAATTGTTATTAAAAACAGTAAAATATTCTTTTATCAATTAAAAATACTCTCTTGAAGAATTACTTACTACGGTTTATCCAGCTGATATTTGATATTAAACTTTTTCGTCTGTAAATTGTCATATTAAGTAAGACACACAATTTACATTCAGGATTTCCCACAAAAGATGAATCTTCAGAGATGACGAGATTTCCCTAAATTCAGGATTCTCTGCAACTGTTAACGTGCTTTTTTTTCTTTGCCAATTCATAAAATAAATCATAAAGGCCTAAGACAGAAAACTTAATTTAATCTTTAAGTTTTTAATATTTACTAGTTTCAGATCGTCTTTACAGTCTTATCCTTTCTGGGTAGCCCTGTATGTGAACTAGTGTATATTAGTTGAATATGATATATAACTAATACTATATAATATAAATTATAAATCCAGAATAAATATATAAATAAAAACAAAAAAGTAGATTTTTCCTTCATAATGATTGATCGTAGAACTTTGCCTGCATATTGGATATAATACAGATTTTAGTCCGTATAAAGTACAAGCAAATATTAGATTGTTAATGAAATTCCATTTTTAAAATATATGATTGATTGATTTCTTAGCTTTTATAAGTAAGCTGATACAGAGTGTCTCACTAAACATGAAGTGTGAAAAAACTGAAAGGTCGTCATTGTTTTTTAATATTTTGACAAAATTGGTGTAAAACGATATAAACGATTTTCATAATTTTGTTCAGCCATTGAAAACTTACAAGTCACACAACCTTAAGCCGTCTCTCAATCTCAAGTTTAGTGGAAAACACTGTACAGTGTATATAAGCTGTACAGTGTATATAAGCTGTACAGTGTATATAAGCTGTACAGTGTATATAAGCTGTACAGTGTATATAAGGTGTGAGACATTTTTCTGAACCCATTTTACAGAAGCAAAATCGTATCCCACTTTGGAATTCTAAGGCGTGTTTAAAAAAAAATGTATTTTCACAAAATTCCAAAAATAGGCCCCTCAAAAGAAATTTTACGATAAAACTTGAAGAAAAAATCAGTTGTGTCAGTGAAAATGAAAAATTTGACAATCTTATTGATATGGATTTGCATGAAACCGGCTTGAGAACATGAGTTCAAAACAATTTACAGCAATGAAAAATGTTGAAAATTGGGCAAGTAATGATTAAAATCGTTTTTTCTCTAAATAAATTATATGAAGTACTCAAAAAAGTTTTTTTTACCTAACTCGGTAAAATTTCAATATTTTTTAATTTTGTAAATTTATTTTAATTCATATACTCAACACGGTTCCAATAATATCCAATTTGATATTTGAAATTTTCATTTTCTCTTATACTAGTTATTTTTTCACATTTTTATCATTATATACCCCATTTTTGATATTTGTGAAAAATGCATTTAATAACCATGTTTGAGCATTCCTAGTATAATATTTTTCTGCTTCTGTAAAATTGCTTAAGAAAAATGTCATACACTGTATATACTATATACTAACCTGCTACAAAGTATGAGTAAGCTGATGATATTTCCAATGATGCCAAGAAGTGCCAGCAGGCTCGTTGCTATACCCAAAATCCACCATCTACAAAAATGTGTATATCTATACATAATCACAAATTGTCTTACATTAAAAGATTTAGATTCCCTTAAAAACTTCTAATTAAACTTAAGAATATTTTCATTAGATTTTATATAGAAACATTAATCTATTAGAAGTTTATAACGTTTTCTGTTTTTTTTCTAAAATTAAAATATGCATCGGAGAATTGATTTCAGCTTTGCAGAATGCAAAATGAAGAGACCTTTCATGGAATAAAAATTGCATAGAATTATACAGAACAAAAATATGAGGGGGGGGCAGGGGGGAACTCGCGGGGAATCATAAAATCTGTAATAAAAATACAATGTTAAGATAATATTCGATTTAAGGATTAGGTTTTCAAAATAATTTTGATTTCCAAAAAGTAGAATTATTGTTTATTAATATTATTTTTTTCTTTTAAAAATATAAAACTGAAATTAAGTTTTAAAAAGTGTAATGTGCATTGTGCATGTCTGAGGCAGCAAAAAAATAAAAGCTCGTTTTCTGCATAGCGGAGGCACGGTCTGCATAGCGTAGGCTTTTTCTGCATAGTGGAGACTCATGGCGTCCGGGGGTTCCCTCCCTAACGTCACTCCCCTCTATGATCCGAGCCATTATAACATGTACTGTATATGCATCCTGTCGTACAGTCCAGTTTGTACTACCGAGCCATTATAACATGTACTGTATATGCATCCTGTCGTACAGTCCAGTTTGTTCATCATGGTTCAGAGTCATGGAGAATAGAATATATATTAGATGGGAATTTAGAGAATCTCTCGGTATGAATTTTTTCAGTCCCTTTCAGCCTGAAAGAGAGTTTAAAGTGTACAAATCATGTAAATATTCACAAATTATATGCAGTAGAGTACATTAATACAGTATGTTCCCTAGACTATTCATTTCAATTTCGAATTTTTTAAAGCTGTTAGATAAACTTGTTGATGGAAAACAGCAACACGCTAGACAAATCAGAATAATAGGCCAGCTAGGATTCTGGTGGGGGATGTTTATTTTCCCCGGACAATTCTTTCCCAGTAGGCCGCAAAAATACACACAACAGAGTAACCCCGTCTCAGAAAATCGATAACAAAATCTTTATTTCCTAAAAAATAACATAAATTATAGGTCATGGTTACTTGTACAATGTTATAATGAATATTAATAATGAAAAAATCTTACGAAATATTTGAGTGTGATCGGGGGAAACTTATTGTTGATCAGTATTGAAATACGTTTTTTTAACTTCTGAAAAATTACAGTTGAATATTTAACGAAATTCACTAATGCTTCTTATGAAAATATTTTGCTTAACTTTAATGATTTCACAACAACGAAAATATTTTGAGCTCCGTGAATAAAAAACATCATTTGATTTATAGTTATAACGGAAAATCATCGTTTGTAGAGTGAAAGACATAGAGTCTATGTGAAATGATCACTGGTCAATTATGAAACCAGCCTATTTCATAATTTGGTTTTCTTTTAACATTAATTTTAGATTTTCTATAAAATGATATTCCAGGACCCAAAAGGTTATATAGCATAAATATGTGAAGTATACCTGCAGTATGGAAACAGTACAACAAAATGGCCGTTTTACACTTTTTTCTAGTAAATTCCCCTCTAATATATACTCTATTCTCTTTGTTCAGAGTCGATCCAGCACGTTTTTTACAACAAATGTAGCCTGGTAGGATTACAGTGATTTATGTATTTGGTGTTTTTTTGTATGCATTTGCAAATATGTCCAAATAGGAAAAAATTTGTTAAATTCGGTCCAAGTAGGTAAAAACAGGTTACAATAGGTTAATTTTATGGTGGTACCTCACATCATATGTGACCTCTAAATACTTAACTTTTATAAAAGCTAAAATGAACCGATAGATGGGGCGCGAAGCACCCTATAAACCTATAGATTGAATATATTTACGAACAAGAAAACAATATGTATATATTGAGTAGACTTTATATAAGACTGATTGGGAAGAAATAATTAATGCATCTATACAAAACACATATTCCATTCATTCAGATTTCTTGAGATGAAAACACAAAACAAGACAAACAGCGAAAGAAACTAATTATCTGAAGCAAAATACACTGAGATCCAGAAAACATTGAAATTAATTTCTTTCAATTATATAATTTCGATGAGGATTTTTTTCTAATAAAAAATTCAACTTTTTAGAGACTAGAGCTGTTGCTTCTCATGTTTTCTTCGTTCTCCAAAAAAACTAATTTTCGCAGATTTTGTTGTTCAAATTAGTGTATTTTTAAAGATAATAATAATCGACATTTATTCACGGGCAAAATTGTTCAAGTTCATACAGCTAGTCGATCAAAAACCTTCCATGGGGTTATGTGATCCAGATGCCATACTACATTTGGGCCCGATCGTTTCAGCCGTTCTGATATTTTTGGATACAAACAGATAAGACAATCAAGCTAATTAAAAACAAACAAATATGTAAGCGTGATAGTTAATTTATCTTTTTATACAATATATGAAGTAATTACTGTAATATGTAATAATAATATACATATTATATGTACTTGATGAAACAATATATTATTCATAATATAATCTACAAGATGGATAGGTCTATAAGGATTCAGATAGAAGGCTTGAATAGTAGTTATGTTATTAACAAACAGGGTAAGGATAAGACTTCAGAGACGACTGTACAGTATTGATTTAGCCTTTCTTATTAAGACTATAATTAATTTAAGGCATATTCCCATGAAAAACCTTAAGATCGTCAAATAAAAGGAGTTTAAAGTCAAAATTAAATTATTCTTTGAGGGTTTAAAACTAAGGCAAAGCATTAAAGCAGATTTTAACTCTTGAAATCCGTTCTTTTAACGGTAAATTGTATTCTCAGAACCACTCGGTGGTCCCCTGAGCAGGAAATTTAAAAGAGTATCGTTTAACGAAACTTCAGAGTTTCCCTTTGGGTTAAATATAATTTTGTACAGTTACATAAAGAAATAAAAATAGAAACAAGATATAAAACTAACTTTTAAAATAATATTTCTTACAAAAATATTGATATCTACAAAATTGTTTTACCCAATTCGTGAAACCCAGTTTCCTGTGTTGGGTTTCAATGCTAATGGCTAATGCTAAACTTTGTTTACATTCGTCATAGTAACTGCACTGAAAACTACACAGAAGGAGAAGGTAAAGGTTATACAACATTACCGGTGTACAACTTTGTGACATCTTAGCTCCTACAGTTTTCATTTTACGCACACGTACGAGGAAAACAATCATTGTTATAAATTTATATTATAAATTTTTCAAAAAAATGTTGTTCTTTCCAATAACTCTTGAATTTAAGGAGTTATGCTAGAATGAATTCGATTTTCATTAAATTTTGAAAATCCACGATCCACGATAAAATCCGCAAACTTTTTTATCGTTTTACGAGAAAATGTTCAAACTTAAATAGAAGATGGACGCTGACAGTTTAGTATGTATATTAAATAGGTTGGTTTGGCATAAAAATTAACAAAATTGTCATATATTTACTTTTAGTTTAAAAAAATATTGGAGTATCGGAACAGAACTTATGTAAACCTAATTATTAGACTGTCTTTCCTGTGTGACATTTCTATTTTTTATGTATATTCTATTATTTCTTAATGCGAAATGAAAACCAAGTTAAACATAAAATTACTTCATAAAATGTTTGATTTACAATGTATGGAATGCATGCATTTAATCTCTTTTTTTCTAATGGAGTTGTTTTGTTCCACTTTTTTTTACAAATAAATATTTATAAATGTATGGGCAACTTTTATTTATTCAAAATTTAAAAAAAAAACCTAATTTAACTAAATACATTTATTAAATTCGTTTAAAAGAAATTTGTAATTTTTTCTGATATTATTGAATAAAAGAAACTGAGCACTTGGTTCAAACTCAAAATATCTATTCTCGATAACTTTGAAACCAGTTCAACTCTAGCTTTCCTCAAAGTAGGACCTAGGTCTTTGCAGAGGCGCTTCTTACGGTAACTATATAGGATTACAGGGAGACAGAGAAAAATGGCAAATCCAAGTTAAACGTGCAGACATACGAAACTTAAGGTATGAAGGGAAATCGATGAGGAAAACAAGATAATCAACCAGGAATGCCTCATTTATTACCCTGGAGAACAGAGTTTTTTTTACCTCTCTGGGTCTAGGCTTGCTGTGGAAAAGCTTGACTTACACTCTTTGGAAACAGGTCTGGTGAGCCGGTTTTTAAGTAAAACTTACAACCCATGGGAAACATGTAAATATCAATCATTAAACGAGTATCATTAAACAAGTACTGCCCATGATGTTCTTACACATTAGTTTCAAGATTCCAACTTTTGATAATCTACTCCTAACCAAAACTCCTTTTTTCCCATTAGCCATTATATTATTTATAAGTGGAGATTCTGACATTGGGTCCTTCAAAATTTCAAAATTCCATGTTTGGTGCAGTGTTCCTTTTTTTCTTATCATCCAACAGAGCTAGAAAACTTACACATTTATAAAGCGATCACACTGACTGCCCTAATGTTCAATGATCTATCTATATCCCTACATTGTCTAGTTCTTGCTGAGCAGACCCAAACCCTAACTACTTTTCACTCTATTCAATCTCTCCAAGTAAATATAAGCAGCTGGTTTAGCTGGTTCAATCTACAAAAAGAGAACCTCTTTATTTGTAGAACAGAACTAAAAAACAAACATTTATTTATATAATAAAACAAAACATTCGTATATATATATATATATATATGTTGTCTAAGCTGACCAAACGGCTGGACCGATTGGGCTGAAATTTGTTGTGGACACTCATGGGTGGCCGGGGAGTGTTATAAGTATTTTGTATAGTCATCAACATTCAACAATCTACAAACCTGCTGAGATAGTAAATATATAATTCCAGAAAAATATCATTTCATGATTATTCATTGGTTCAGTGTCAGCAGCTGAGATATTGAAATTAGAAATATATAATAAGCAGCTAAACTTCCTTGCAACAAACCAGATATATCAGACAGAATTAAAAAAGAATCAGAGATTTGCAGAATTCTGAACCAATGAATAGATAAGAAGAATGTTCAGACTATTTCTTATACCAATTATTTTGAAAATATCAAAAATAAATATTGGGGTGCTGTTTCCCACTTGGGGTTTTCGGGGGTCGTGAGATCTCCCTTCTCCCACCAACCCACCAAGATGGAGGATCCTGGGGCCCCAAGAATCCCAAAGTGACAAAAATTGGAATACTGTAATACTATGAAAATAATGCTGTACAATTTTGTAATTATCTTTTTAAAAAACTTTTTAAAAAGAATTTGTTAAAAAATATCTTTGAAACCTTTCTTGCATACCATGATCCTATATGGAAAGAAAATCAGAGTTTGAGACAATTGTTCAGATTTGTTTCGAATCTCACCTGTAGAATTCATTCACTTCCTCATAATTCGCTGCTTTCCCACATAGTTCAGTGAAATCTTTGTAAAATTTAATTTTATCATTTAAACATTTATAATTTGTTTAGGCTCTTATAGCGGAGTCAATATCATCTTTCTTATCAAGAATGAAATCATTAAAATAACTATTTTGTTAAAAAAAAAAAATTTCAGCTGTCCGTCTTATGTTTTTGTATCAAAGTTTTAGGATTATTATTATCTTGTTCGTGGATTTCTTCATTGATGAAAAAGACGACATTTACTACTCTAACTCCTCTACAATATTATCTCTATCTATTTATTTAATAATTTTATCTCCCCCAGTACAGGAAGTAAAATTATATTTGCTTACATCTGTCTAAGAAATATATTACATACTAGTAAATATAAACCTAATATTCTTTATATTTAAAAAGAAAATAATACAGTGAGAACCAGAAAACTGTGGAATAGGAAACTACATTAATGCAATTCAAGAGAATTTGATGTTGTTACAGAGTATTTAGTTTTACTAGTAACTTATTGAATTACTTAATAAGTTAAGCAGATCTGTTTACAACGCACAATTGCTGTGTCTCAAGTTCACTATTTAAAGTCTATAACTTGAGTCTCAACCCCATCTTTCTTTTCCAGAGTTTTCTGGTGCTCACTGTATATAAATTATAATTAGACGTTATCCTCATTTATCTAACCAACAAAAATTGTAATTCCAACAAGATATATTTAGGAAAATATGAAATATCTAAGGTCTACGACATTTGGTTGCCAAGACAAAGGGATTAAAAAATTTGAGCTTGTTACAAAAACGATCATTTTCTTTCAAATAAATAGAGAATATAGAAATTTAATCTTCGGAACGTCATAGTTTAAAGTTGACATTAAAGATATATAATCCTGTGTGGGTAAACTTAAATCTGATTCAGAGCTTCCTGTGGCCGAATTTAAAGAATTTTAGCGGCGGTTTAAATTTAAGCCGCGGTTTAAATATGGTTGGTTCCACATAAAATTGTATCAAATGTTTCAAAATTTAAGCCGGCGCTGAATTTAAACCGGGGTTTGGCGGATTTAAACCGCGGCTCAAATTCTTTAAATTCCATCTCAGGTGTAATTTACTTAAAAATATTTGATAAGATAAAATTCCTGTTTCATTGTCATTCAGGTCCAGCCCTAATAAAAAGGTTGATGTATTTAGATTACAAATAAGAGTTTTATTTGACAGCAGGATATCTCAAGAACTAAAGTACATCCCTGGTTAAAGGATACAATTAATGAATTTGCAAAATCTCGTCTTATAAATTTTTCTGTGATTATTACCGCATTATGTTAACAAAAGGATTACTTTACTCTGTTGGGAGCCTGTTAGTTAGTTTTGGTGTCCGATTACAACTTGTAAAACCCATGACTTATTTCACTCCAATTTTGATTTGGGAGCTCAGTAGGACATGGAATGTGCCAAACTAGTTGTTAATACATTGGGCACTTGATTGATTTAAACATAAAGTATTCGCGTCAATTGATCAAATAATTGATTGGAAAACGACATTTTACAGATTTTTTTTGTAATGTATGTAATGGGTCTGACTCTGTACTCTGTGTACACAAAATTGCTTTGTTTCATGGTCTTGTACTTTTTAAAAACATAAATTTAATGTAATAATCGCCCCCTCCCCCCCCCCATCAAATATTATGCAGTACATCCCTATTCCTAGTGTACTGTTTGTTGTTTCTGGATCCAGTTCCATGAATTTGTCCTCAGTCAAGTTCCTCGTATTCTCAACTAAGAACTCCATTCTAGCTTCTAGCTCACACAGTTCCAGCTTCTAGACTTCCAGCACGCTTACCTGCAATAAATACATTTGTTTAATCGTGTTTTAACCACATTAAGGAATATCACAAAAATCTGAGATATATCTAAAATTTCTAACAACCTAAATTGATTGAGGGACATATTCGATTCACAACAGTACCCTTTCCAAACTTCTATCTATCTATCTATCATAAATTGAGTTCATTTCAGATATTTTCCTGCATTATCTGTGCAGCATAAATCCGTAAGTTCCATTTGTTCTTGAACCACAATTTTGAAATTCCAGTTTTCAAATAGAAAAACATTAATTTTTGCTGTGCTTTGCGTGATATGTGTACTGTTGGAGAATTAGCCTCTATTTCCCTTTTAACAGAGAAGAGTTTATTGATAGAAATATTGAAATTAAAATGGTAGTTAAGAAATGTTTCATTACGGCTTTATTCTAATGTCCCAATTTTATCCGGTCATCACTCGTCTAACCAGGGTTAGTTGTTTGGTTTCTCAAATTTGAATAAAAATTGCTTTTTAGTATGTAATTCAACAATCCGTAAAATTACGGATTGTATTTTATACTTTTCATTTAAAACTAAAAATGGTATAATTTTGAGAAAAAAAAACAAATTTACGTTTAATGGGTAAAATTTAAATCGAAAGTCACAGTTTGGTGGAACAAGGACCGGACTATTGAGTGTATACCATATGATTATCTGTTATCAAGTAAAAAAAAAGGTTCATGTACTTCTTTTCCCACCATTTATCAAGAATTTCATAATAAGGACTAAATGTAAAAATTAAAGGGAGTGTTCGCGAAAAATGAAAGAAGGTATAGGCTTACGGCGAAAAGTAAGCGCTTTTGATCGCTACTAATCTTACTTCAACTCGGATCGTAAAAAAATCAGTTCAATTCAAAACAAAGTGGATATTTCATAATATTTTTTTTATGATCTGACATTTACTTTAGAAAACATTTATATAAATCCAGTGCCAAGGAAATATCATTTTAAAAAAACGAAACCAAAAATATTATCAAATATAAACTATATACGAATGCATCGAAAAATAATCGATGACTATTGTTTGTAATATCTGAATGATTTGTTGGCTTGTTGAATATTGAAACTTTCTGAATTTGTTTGGACGCTATGTTCTTCAGTATAAGGCGTTTTTAACAATTTTCTCATTATAGACGCAACAGATAGAAGTAAGATTAGTAGCAATCAAAAGCGCTCTTTTTTTCGCCGTAAGCCTATACGATACCCCCTTTCATTTCTCGCGAACATTCCCTTTAATATTACAATCTTTATGAAATCCTCACAGTGTAATCTTAAATTTTGAACTCAAATATACTTCTTTGTATTTAATGAATTATATCCCTACATGATGCGTATTCAAAGACTCATGCAAGGTGTTGCGAGTGTGACACTTTAACACATTTTTTATACGTTAACAAGCTTGCTTAACCACTTCTGAACAATATTAAAAATATGAAAGATAGTTCCGAGGTCGCAAAGTCGTAATTCTGCTAAAATTTACTTTACTAGAAATTCAGGGCGCTTCGCGCCCTTCTTTCTAGGCTTTCCGTTTTGACGTTTATTGGATACAAACAAACAAACAAACAGACAAACAGACAAACAGACAAGCTAAATTTATATATAGATATTACCATTCTTAATCTTTAAGCGAAATATCGTGTTCTTTTACAGTTTATTTATAGATCTATACAATAATTATGATATAATATTGCATAAACCAAAAAGAACAAAAAACGGAAAAGGAAGACGACTTTTGACTTAAGTAAAAATGAACATACGATACAGCAACTGTGCTGTGTAAACAGACCCGTTTCATTTAAAAGTGATTTAATAAGTTACTATAGAAAACCTATCAAATATCAAATACGCTTAATTATTGTTCTAATGTCGTCTTCCTATTCCATGATTTCTGGTTATCACTGTATATACAATATTTGAATGTCCTTGAAAATTTCATATTTGTATAGTGTTGTACAGAATATTTTCGTGTCTTGAACAGAAACTCAATTTTCTGTATAAATATCACATATTTATATATATATGAAATATATATTTATATATATTTAAAGTTTTATATATATATATATGTATGATGCATTCATTATTTTCGATATTTTGACACCTTTTCTAGAAAACTGAGAACAAAAACTTACGAATTAAAAGTAATAAAGTAAATACAAAACTTAAAATACTCCAATCCTTGTAATCATCTAATTTTAAGCAACACCCTGTAAAATGTACATACATCAAACATTGGATAATGGGGGAGCGACTAATATTCTAAGATTAAACAAATACACTCCAGTTCACGGGTATTCAAGAATATACAAATACACTCCAGTTCACAGGTATTCAAGAATATACAAATACTCCAGTTCACGGGTATTCAAGAATACACATATACACTCCAGTTCACGGGTATTCAAGAATATACAATACTCCAGTTCACGGGTATTCAAGAATATACAATACTCCAGTTCACGGGTATTCAAGATTATACAAATATACTCCAGTTCATAGGTATTCAAGAATATACAATACTTCAGTTCACGAATATTCAGGAATACACATATACAGTACACTCCAGTTCACGGGTATTCAAGAATACACATATTCACTCCAGTTCACAGGTATTTAAGAATGCACATATACACTCCAGTTCACGGGTATTCAAGATTACACATATACACTCCAGTTCACAGGTATTCAAGAATACACATATACACTCCAGTTCACGGCTATTCAAGAATGCACATATACACTCCAGTTCATAGGTATTCAAGAATGCACATATACACTCCAGTTCACGGGTATTCAAGAATACACATATACACTCCAGTTCACAGGTATTCAAGAATACACATGTACACTCCAGTTCACGGGTATTCAAGAATACACATATACACTCCAGTTGACGGGTATTCAAGAATACACATATACACTCCAGTTGACGGGTATTCAAGAATACACATATACACTCCAGTTCACGGGTATTCAAGAAAACACAATGCACATATACACTCTAGTTTACAGGTATAAAAGAATGAACAAACACAAGCCTGTTGCTTACTCAAGCTTTCTTATAGTTGGGCATGCCTGATTCACACCGGTACCCTTTAAAAATGTTTTCGTTGTATTCTATCGGAGCAATTTATAATTTTCAATTATGATTTTCTATATTAGTGTGTTTTAATTGAACAGAAACAAAAAAGGAAATGTCCAAATTTGATACTTTTTCAGAGAGAAAACGACGATATCTTCCTCACAATTGCTTATATATAGATTGATGGGTACCGTTGTCTATTAGGCAGCCTTTTAAATAAAGGACCAACAATATTTTGATCTTTCATTCAAAACATGTCTACTATACGAGACTCTTTATGCATAAATATTTGAAAGAGTAAAATAAAAAGTATAAAATATCAAATATAAAAAATCAGCATTTAATACGAGAAAACGGGCTCTAAAGTTAAGACTTTTTAACTTTAAACCAGGACCTATAGTTTACCGTGGCCGGTAGAACGTAAACAGATTTTTTATAGGGAGTCAGTCGTTGCACCACTTTTTAAAAGGAGTCAGTCGTTGCACCACTTTTTAAAGGGGGTCAGTCGTTGCACCACTTTTTAAAAGGAGTCAGTCGTTGCACCACTTTTTAAAGGGAGTCAGTCGTTGCACCACTTTTTAAAGAGAGTCTGTCGTTGCGCCACTTTTTAAATCGAGGGTCACTTTAAGTGCAGTTGCATTATAACACACTATTTTAAGCACTTCTTACATATTTCGAAAAAACTCACTTAATATAATTTCTACATGATGAAGGTTAAACTAGACTGAAACAATAGTGTAGAGGTGTCTAATCATATTAATACAAAAGTAAATTTATGCAGGATCACGTTAATATATCACATTGTCACATCAAACTAACGTTAGTTTTAAATTTAGTTTTAATTTTAGATTTTTTTTGAAAATAGAGAATCTTCGACTTAACACGTGATCCAAAGGTTGCGAGCTCTCACGCAAAAATCTATGAGAATTTTGCTAATTACTTTTTCAAAACTAAATCCAAAAATAAGTATTTAAAACAAAAAATTATAACTGAGTTTGTATGGTAAAATTGAAATTCAAATAATCAAATACCATGCAATTTAAAATTGACCCAGTCTTAAAAAATTTTCATAGAAATCTGGATTCATGTGAACAAAGCTGGAAACTTTAGAATGGATAACCTTTAATCCCAACTACGTAATCCGAATATCCACTGTGGAAACTTTAGAATGGATAACCTTTAATCCCAACTACGTAATCCGAATATCCACTGTGGAAACTTTAGAATGGATAACCTTTAATCCCAACTACGTAATCCGAATATCCACTGTGGAAACTTTAGAATGGATAACCTTTAATCCCAACTACGTAATCCGAATATCCACTGTGGAAACTTTTAACTTCAGTCCATAATCCACTCTTTTTATCTCTCTCTTTGGATATCCGTACATTGTTTTCTCCAATGTGAGAGCAGGAATATAGTTCGTAAATTGTATTGACCAATGACAGCCTTGTAAATAAATTCTATCCCAAGAGAGAAATCCGCAATTTCTAACAAATAAAGAATATGTTATCGGCCATTTTGAAAAAGAAGTGGTTAAGAAAAATATTTAATAATACGTTTGAGATTCTTTTGTAACCAATTTTAACTAATATGTATTAATAAATAAATGGGTGAGAAATTAAGTGAAGGCCCTTCCAGTCAAGAAAACGAACACATCTGGCGTTCCTAGAATCCAATTTGTTGATCTAAATATTTAATCTCGAGACTAACATAATCTCCAGATTATGTTAGTCTCGAGATTAGCAAAAAGAGAGGATTAAGCAATAATCTCGATGTCCACTATTCTAAAGTTCCCAGCTCAAGCGTCTTTACTCACTTTTGAAAATATGAAGAATATGGATGATTGTAACGAAGTCAAAAGTCGTAATTCTTCTCAAATTTACTTTATACATCACA